GCAGGGGATCAAATACTTTTTTCCCTCACTGTAAATCGGCTTGAAAATCTATGGCTAGACTTGAAAATGGCTAATGTGCAAATATTGTGCAATCCAGGTGTGCAAAGCTCTTAGAGAGTTACCCAGAAAGTCTCACAGCTGTAATCGCTGCCAAAGGTGATTCTAACATGTATTGACTCAGGGGTGTGAATACGTATATGTAAATTAGATATTTCTGTATTTCATTTTCAATCAATTTGCAAACATTTCTAAAACCATGTTTTCACTTAGTCATTATTAGGTATCGTGTGTAGATGGGTGAGAAAAATAATCTATTTACACCATCCCCTGACAAGATCATACACCATCCCCTGACAAGATCATACACCATCCCCTGACAAGATCATACACCATCCCCTGACAAGATCATACACCATCCCCTGACAAGATCATACACAATCCCCTGACAAGATCATACACCATCCCCTGACAAGATCATACACCATCCCCTGACAAGATCATACACCATCCCCTGACAAGATCATACACCATCCCCTGACAAGATCATACACCATCCCCTGACAAGATCATACACCATCCCTGACAAGATCATACACCATCCCCTGACCAAGATCATACACCATCCCTGAAAAAGATCATCCCACCATCCCCTGACAAGATCATACACCACCCCCTGACAAGATCATACACCATCCCCTGACAAGATCATACACCATCCCCTGACAAGATCATACACCATCCCCTGACAAGATCATACACCATCCCTGACAAGATCATACACCATCCCCTGACAAGATCATACACCATCCCCTGACAAGATCATACACCATCCCTGACAAGATCATACACCATCCCCTGACAAGATCATACACCATCCCTGACAAGATCATACACCATCTATGACAAGAGATACACCATCCCCTGACAAGATCATACACCATCCCCTGAAGAGCAAAAGATGGGAGGGAAAGATGATATGAGAGAGAGGGAGAGAGGGAGAGATGATATGCGAGAGGGAGGGAGAGAGAATGGGAGAGAGAGAGACAAATAAAGAGAGACGAAAAGGAGAGAGAGAGAAATACTAGGGGGAAGAAGACAGTCTGAGAAGCCTGTCATTATGATGTTGGCGTCAGCGGGGTGGAGGAGAGGGAAAAAAACATAGTTGGCGGGGAGTCTCGTCAAAAAATATATATATAAGAAGTGAAGCAAAATGGCTGCCTCACCTCACCAAGCCCAGGCCATAAATAAGACGCGGAGAGAGAAGGAAACAGCCAGATGTGGAGAGAGAGAGAGGAAGAAAGAGGGGGAGGGAGAGCGAAGGGGAGAGAGATCCCACCCCGGGAAGGAATGTCATGGAGGGGAAGGAGGGAAGGTAACTTAAGGCTGGTCCGGGCTGAGTAAATAGGCAGGTTCCCACACAGAACAGGCCATGGTGTGTATGTGTGGATGTGAGATTATGTTTAAGTGTGAGTGTGTACATTTGCACTTGTGTATTTGGTAGTGTGTGTGTGTGCAAATATTATGATTTATTAAACATTTCACAGCTCTTAAGAGGAACTCTTGCGACAGAAAGAGAGAGAGGAGGGGAGAGTGAGAGAGAAAGGAGAGTGAGTGAGGGAGAAAGAGAGAGAGTCAGAGCTCATGCCATCATCGTCAGTGAGAAGAGAACCATTGGAGCTTAGTACTCTCTCAGCACTCTCTCACACACACAAACATGCAGCACACGGTCCACCACTCTAGCCACTTATGTCCTCTTTCCTTCGGCAGTGTGAGTGGACCCCATAATAGCACACATTAAGCCTATCCATACAGTGTAGCAGGCTTATACATCGACCAGCGTAAAATAGAGCCATATAGCCCCCCCCCCCCCCCCCCCCCCCCCCCCCCCCCCCCTCTCTCTCTATCTCTCTCTCCATCTCTCCCTCTTGTCTTTTTGTTTGACTTTCTCTTTTTCTTTCTCTCTCCTCCTTTTTCTCTCCCCCTTCTGTCTCTCTATCTTTCTTCACTTCTCTCTCTCTCCACCCCCTCTCTCTCTCCCCCCTCTCTCTCCTCTCAATCTCTTGGTATCTATTTGTCCTCAGGGTGAGGCCCACTGTAGTCCTCCTGCCTGCTACACCCATTCTTTCACTAACGAAGGGAAAGGCTTCGTTCATTATGCAAATGAGCTTTATTCAGTCGGCCCTGTGAGACGAATCCCCCCAAGGAGATAGTGTTAATTATGTAAAATAAAAAAACGAACAAAACACACACAGAAAAAAAGACAAAATCTCCCAATCATACTATTAGAAATGCCTTGATGTGACCTTGTTTGTCGGAATGGAAGTAATGTGCCCTATTTCTTTCCCCGGCTCTTTTTCATCAAGCCTCTCCGACCAATGTTTTGTTTCAGCTTGACATTTTTACATTTTGCGCTGGCTGGCTGGCTGGCTGGCTGGCTGGCAAGGCAGTGACTGTGGTGATGGTAGAGGTAGTTAGTGGTGGGTGGGTGGGTGAGTTGGAAGCGATGTGTCGCCCTCGTGTGGTGAAATGGGCACAGTACATCTTGTGAGAGCGGGAGGGATTGGGAGAGAGAGAGATAATGTTTGTGAGAGAGAGAGGGAGGGAGAGAGAGAGTGTTTGTGAGGGAGAGAGAGAGAGTTTGTGTAGAGGGAGGGGGTGAGAGAGAGAACGTTTGTGAGAGAGGGAGAGTTTTGAGAGAGGGAGAGCGTGTGTGAGAGAGGGAGGGAAAGAGGGAGAGTTTGTGAGAGAGGGAGAGTTTTGAGAAAGTGCGAGAGGGAGGGGGTGAGAGTGAGAGAGAGAGTTTGTGAGAGAGGGAGAGTGTATGAGAGAAAGTGTGTGAGAGGGAGAGAGAGAGTTTGTGACAGGGAGAGAGAGAGTTTGTGTGAGAGAGAGACTATTTGCACATCGTTACAACACTGTATATAGACATAATATAACATTTGAAATGTCTTTATTCTTTTGGAACTTTTGTGAGTGTAATGTTTACTGTTCATTTTTTACTTTTGTTTATTATCTATTTCACTTGCTTTGGCAATGTAAACATATGTTTCCCATGCCAATAAAGCCCCTTGAATTGAATTGAGAGTGAGAGAGACCCATATACAGGATAATAATCTTCTTTGTGCTGTATACAGGACTCCCCTCCTCCCCTCCCCTCCTCCCTCTCTTTTCCACCCGGGGAGGATAAAGAAATGAACACACGCTGGTGTTTAACCTCTTTCCAACAGAAACGTGTCTGTATCAAATCATCCATTTAACAGTAGCAGAGGGTAACCAACGATACAGCAGCTCCAAAGTTACCTCTTCTAGCTCTGTGTGTGTGTGTGTGTGTGTGTGTGTGTGTGTGAACTGTATAACATGTGGCAGACACAAAATTGTATTCTTCCCAAGTAATTATTTTTACCCTTATCATGTAAGGTAATTTCAACAAAAGCTACTATATTGTTTGGCTATTCTACAGTAAAGTGGTCTCGAACACGTTGTTGTTATTATTATTATTTTTGTATTATTATTATTATTATTAGGGATCAGCTTTAATATTGCAGATAGATTGTGGGTTCTATTAATGTAATTGTCTGCATCATGTGTTTATGGAATTCAATATTTCCAAAAGGATTTGATTTCCATCTTTAGCTACTGTATTTCAACAACATGCTATTTTAATGATATGCTGACAAATGTCTAACTACCTTGTTACTATTATCAACCAAAGACATTATAGAGCATGTTACCTTCTCAACTAACTTCACTTACAAGCGACCTCACAATTCATACTTTTATAAAGGTGGTGACACTGTTGACCATCACCTGGCACTGAGATAATATTAGGATAGGAGATGTCTAAATGGGATATTTTATATTTCCGTAACGCCGTCATTTCTCCACTTCTAATTCATTAAAAAAGCGACGCTTTCGTAATCGAGGATTTTACGCTCTGCAAAAGCCCTAAAAAAATGGCTCAAGATTTTTCAGCTGTAGTTCTTACAAATCACAGATTACATACATTTATTAAATATACATTTATTTTTCTGTACTATCCATAAACCCCCAAGTCTTAAAAAAGGACAAGATTTAGAGTGAACCAGACATGAATAACAAAATAAATATTTCAACAAAATGTAAGTAATTGCTTTGCAATGTCATGCTTAATTTGTATCTGTATTTTGAGTGTGTCTTCATTCATAGTGATGGAGTGGTGCTATTGTCATATCTTAGTGATGATTATTTTATTTTTCATATAAAAAGAAATGGAGTCTACTTTCTCACATTTCTGTGTTTGGTGGAGGAGGGCACCTAGTATGTCCGCCAATAGAAATAGAATGACTGTAAGGAACAAAGCCGTCAGACCTCTGAACGCTGATGGGAAAGGGAATGTCCGTTCTAGTCTTTTCTATTTTCTCCTTGTAACCCATGGAAGGCATTTTGTGTGATCCTCCACCTCCTCCAGTTAGCCAGTCACTGTTTAGCTGCTGTGGTTTAGCTAACCCTCCCTCCCTCCCTCAGACCTGGGGGTTATGTCAACAGCAGTGTGGATTAGAGGGACGGGTGGGTTGCCAGATACAATGGACGCATTGCCAGATTAGATAGGAGGGTGAGCATGTGTTTTTTTTAACAGCAGTAGTGGCAGAAACTACTCACACAGATCAATGCGTTTGATCAGTTCCCCCTTAGGTCAGGTCAGATGATACAGGCACGGGCCGGGAGGGGGGGTGGAAGGAGGGTGGGTTGGAAGGTGGGTTGGAGGGTGAAAGGGTGGTTTGTAAGGAGCGGGGGTGGAAGGAGGGTGCAAGCAGGGTTGGAGTGGGGTGGAGGGGAGGATGGAAGGGGGGTTGGAGGGTGGGTTGGAGGGGGGGTAGAGGGGAGGATGGAAGGGGGGTTGGAGGGGGTGGAGGGGAGGATGGAAGGGGGGTTGGAGGGGAGGGTGGAAGGGGGGGTGGAAGGGAGGATGGAAGGGGGGGTGGAGGGGAGGGTGGAAGGGGTTGGAGGGGGTGGAGGGGAGGATGGAAGGGGGGGTGGAGGGGAGGGTGGAAGGGGGGTTGGAGGGGGTGGAGGGGAGGTTGGAAAGGGGGGTGGAGGGGAGGATGGAAGGGGGGTTGGTGCACAACCACAACTACAAACAAAGAGGAACGGTGAGGGTGAAAGATGGATCTGCCACCAGCTGTGCCACTGTAAACACGTGTAAACACAAACACCCGCAGGCTTGTGCACACACACAAACATGCACAGACACACACAGAATAGACATGAAACCTGCACTGTCCATTGAAAAATTGAAATTGTTCAGCACGCACACACACACACACACATACACACTGGCAAGATTTGTCTCACTACAGTTACTTGTGGTTAGATTTCTCATGCTTTTTAAAAATAAGTTGAGTGAAAATTCAGAGGGAGGATATTAAAGACTTATGTATATGCTTTCCTCCTTCTTTCTCTCTCTCTCTCTCTCTCTCTCTCTCTCAGTCTCTCTTTCTCTCTCTCTCTCTCTCTCTCTCTGTTTCTCTCTCTCTGTGTCTGTCTCTGTCTCTGTCTCTGTCTCTCTGTCTCTCTCTCTGTCTCTCTCTTGCTCTCTCTGTCTCTGTCTCTCTCTCTCTCTCTCTGTGTGTATCAGAATGTTTACAGGTCAAATCTCCCTCTGGGAGTTTAGATTAAAATCGTAACAGCTTCTAAGTACATGAAAGTTCAAAATGGGATGCTAAGGCCAACTTTCTCTGTCAAAGTCCAGGTACAAAAACTCCCCATTTATAAAAGTCGGCCATGTTGTTATTGTTAAGTTCAGAGGGTCAGCGCCAAAAGCTATAATGATGGCCATTTGATTTTTCTGTTTGACTAAATGTGTCCCGATCCTTTTTTGATGGGACGGAACACTCACGTTAGGACAGTCCCCAGCATTATCCCTTCACTATCACTTTCAAGGTCACCGTTCTGAATGGCAGGTCACGTTGTTCGTCATTGTTGGTCGGGGTGAGGCGGTCACTTGGGGTCAAGTGTGGCCTGTGGGGCATTGGCGCTGTGTCATCCGTGACAGTGAGCCAGGCTAGCTAGCAAAACATTCCTGGGGGTTCTAGGATGAAGAGGCGACCCACTGTCGACCTACCAAACCAGCCCTGGGCCCTGTTTGATAAAAAACACACCCTTCCTTCCTCCCATTCCTTGATGTAATCACTGATCTAACACAATAGTTCTTCTATCATATCGCTTTCACCAAGCCAGCCATGTCAAATCAGGTATTTCTTCAAGGAAGGGAGGAAGGATGCATTCTTATAGTATTCAAACAGGGCCCAAACCTTTGCAGTGGTCTAAGAAGAGACTAAATTAAGGAAAATGAAACACTTCCTATGAATACCCTGTTCATAATGCATTATGAACATTGCTCGTCCATATATTTATTTATATATTCTTAATTCCATTGCTTTACTTAGATTTGTGTGTATTGGGTATATGTTGTGAAATTGTTAGATATTACTTGTTAGATATACTGCACTCTCGGAGCTAGAAGCACAAGCATTTCGCTACACCCGCAATAACATCTGCTAAACACGTGTATGTGACCAATAACATTTGATTTGATATAAGGACATTTATACTGCCTTTTGAGCTAGGCAAAATGCATTATTAGCACCTGTCGTGCATTGTAATTAAGCAATAATGCCTGAGGGGGTGTGGTATATGACCAATATACCACGGCTAAGGGCTGTTCTTAAGCACGACACAACGCAGAGTGCTTGTATACAGCCCTTAGCCGTGGTATATTGGTAATATACCACAAACCCTTGAGGTGCCTTATTGCTATTATAAACTGGTTACCAAAGTAATTAGAGCAGTAAAAATAAATGTTTTGTCATACCCATGGTATACCATGGCTGTCAGCCAATCAGCATTCAGGACTTGAACCACCCAGTTTATAATGGCTTATAATGCATTATGAAGAGGGTATGCATAACCAATTAAACAAATGAGCTTTAGTGAGGTAAAGGGAGTAAATATCACAAATGTGTCGAATAGATTGACAGTATATGCTCCAAGGTTGCTATGAATGTCACTCCGAATCGCAAAGGAATGGAACATAGTAGAAATGTCTCCTTGACTCATCATTTAGATGCAGGGTAAATTGCCGTTTTTTTTACACTGCTATTCATCCAATAGTTTTCTTTCCCTTTCCCCTCTAAAGCTTTTCACTGGGCTTATAGAAATCTGATTTGACTGTTAAGTGTGAAAGTTGTGGAGGAAAAGCCAATCCAATGACTCCTTGTTTGTTAACGAGATGCCTCGGCTAACAAGACTCTCCCCCTTGTTTATCTGTTACCGCTGCAACATATGGTGGGGGTCGTCATTGGAATTTGTGATTCATTAAATATTAGTTAATTAAGGTCAGGCGGTTCTCCAGTACGACAACACAGAGCGCCGCGCTAAGCTGGCCTCCCACACGAGGGTTCGCCGCCACCGAGGAAACATACATCACACTCACTACCACTCCATAAAGGCACAACACACATACAAATAAGTCAAAGTATTTAGTCAACCGTCCCATAAAGGCACACACACCATGGACACACAAATACAAAACGTAAAATCCAAAAATGGGACCAAGGAAATGAATTATCCAAACTATTGGATAAGTGTTTTATAAACAACAAGAAATTTTACAGGATTGGAACGTCCTTGAAATCCTCTTCCTATCTTTACCTGTATTTAAAGGGGCATGTTGATGTGTTTTGACATACTGTCCACCACCCTCAAAACAGTTATAACCATCAAAATCCACTATGTAAGACCAATAGATGCTTATCAAGGAGTACCAGGAGCAAAGGTTAAGTGACCTTTCCCCCACGGGCAAGATCAACAGATTATTAACCTTAGGTCGGATCACTTCGAACAATTTTCGGTAATGAAACCCAAAGTCAACCCGCTAAAGCCCCATCTGCCCCCAAAACTCGTTGGGGTCAAATGATGCACATGGACTTGCAGGAAAATCCCAGTCCAGGGACCTTATGAAACATGCAGAAAAGCTTTTGGGGCAGCAGTTTTAAAAAATACCATCAGTACGTAGAGCTACTTACGCGCCATTTAGTGACTAAAATCTGCGTGCAGACGGTCGCAAGCCTATGCGCCAGGCCCCGTGTGAATTTCGCTAGAGGAAATGACCAGAAGAGGATTGGGGATGTCATTGGTGGGTGTCACCAAACATAATGTAAAAAACCCTCTTTGGGGAACAATCTTGAGTTGCTCCCACCATACCTACTGTGCATTTTGGGTGGAAAGTCATTCTTTTTACGTTTTAATGTCAAGACAGGAAGCTTTGTCAGTGTGACTGATGTGTATAGAAAGTCGGGTGTACGGAGTTTGGTAGTAAAACTGGGCTTCCATGAGTCTACTGGAGAACAGAGCCAAAAGTTGTCTGTGTGTGTCTGGTGTGCCATGTGTATGGTGAGAGTGAGTGAAGTGTTGTGGTTGGAACTGTGTGATATTGGTGGGTTGTCCGTGTGCCGGGCGGGGCGCTGTTTTGGGGGGGGGGTTGGGGGGGTTTTCCTTTGGGGCCCTTGTTTTTTTGGGGGTTTGGGTTTTTTCCCCGGGGGCCCCTTTTTTAAGTAGGGAAAACAAAAGGGTTTTGGCAAAACCCAAATTTGGGGGTTTTTTGTTTTTCGAAAAATTTGGTTTGCTCCCAAAGTGGTAAAAAATATTACAAGGGTTTGAAAAATTTTTCCTATTTAATTTCCTTAAAAAATTGGTTTTTAAATTGGGGGAAAACCTTTTTAAGGGCTCTTGCCCCCCCGGGACCGTATTAATGACACTGTTAACTTTATCAGTATAAAAGACACCGTCACACCCAAACAGTCACACTCCAAACCACTATGCCAGACCAAGGCGTCAAGGACCCAGAAACAAATTGTAGACCTGCACCAGCGGAGACTGAATCGCATGGGAGCGTTGGTTGAGAAATCAATGTGGAGCAATATTAGGAAATGGAAGACATACAAGCCACTGATAATCTCCCGATTGGGCTCCCAGATCTCACCCCGTGGGGTCAAAATGACACAAGAACGTGAGCAAAAATCCCCAGAACCACACGGGGGGACCTAGTGAATGACCTGCAGAGAGCTGGGGACCAAAGTAACAAAGCCTACCATCAGTAAACACACTACGCCGCCAGGGACTCAAATCCTGCAGTGCCAGACGTGTCCCCCTGCTTAAGCCAGTACATGTCCCAGGCCCGTCTGAAGTTTGCTAGAGTGCATATGGATGATCCAGAAGAGGATTGGGAGAATGTCATATGGTCAGATGAAACCAAAATATAACTTTTTGGTTAAAAACTCAACTCGTCGTGTTTGGAGGACAAAGAATGCTGAGTTGCATCCAAAGAACACCATACCTACTGTGAAGCATGGGGGTGGAAACATCATGCTTTGGGGCTGTTTTTCTGCAAAGGGACCAGGACGACTGATCGTGTAAAGGAAAGAATGAATGGGGCCATGTATCGTGAGATTTTGAGTGAAAACCTCCTTCCATCAGCAAGGGCATTGAAGATGAAACGTGGCTGGGTCTTTCAGCATGACAATGATCCCAAACACACCGCCCGGGCAACGAAGGAGTGGCTTCGTAAGAAGCATTTCAAGGTCCTGGAGTGGCCTAGCCAGTCTCCAGATCTCAACCCCATAGAAAATCTTTGGAGGGAGTTGAAAGTCCGTGTTGCCCAGCGACAGCCCCCAAAACATCACTGCTCTAGAGGAGATCTGCATGGAGGAATGGGCCAAAATACCAGCAACAGTGTGTGAAAACCTTGTGAAAACTTACAGAAAACGTTTGACCTGTGTCATTGCCAACAAAGGGTATATGACAAAGTATTGAGAAACTTTTGTTATTGACCAAATACTTATTTTCCACCATAATTTGCAAATAAATTCATAAAAAATACTACAATGTGATTTTCTGGAATTTTTTTCCTCAATTTGTCTGTCATAGTTGACGTGTACCTATGATAAAAATTACAGGCCTCTCTCATCTTTTTAAGTGGGAGAACTTGCACAATTGGTTGCTGACTAAATACTTTTTTTCCCCACTGTACGTACTCACACACACATACAAATGGGACCAAGGGACAATAGTAATATCCCAAACTCATTTGATCCTTGGTTTTATAACAAATAAGATGAGAGGGATTGGAGTCCTTCAGAAATCACTCATCAGCTACTTTTAGTGTGGCATAATGGTGCTATGTACTGTGTGTGGCTTTTGACATACTGCCACCACCACTGCAAAACATATTTGAATTATAACCATCAACTCACATTCATATTTTAGTCATTTAGCAGACGCTCTTATCCAGAGTGAGTTACAGGAGCAATTAGGGTTAAGTGCCTTGCTCAAGGGCACATCAACAGATTATTCACCTAGTCGGCTCAGGGATTCAAACTTTTCGGTTACTGAACCAACGCTCTTAACCGCTAGGCCACCTGCCGCCCAAAACTCGTTGACGATTGTCAAATAGATGGCCATTGTTTGACTTTGCATGGATAGACTTTGTGCCATGTCCATTGCTCTTTATGTTTAACATGAAGAACATTACATTTTGGGCTTAGCAGCCTTCTAAATATCCATAGTACTGTAGCGCTATTAACGCTTACACATTTATGACTAAAGAAATGTGGTGAAAAGGAATCGAACCAAGACTATGCGCGTCAGGCACGGTGGATTATTTCGGGAAATGCAAAATAGCAGAATAAACGGTTGTCATTGTGATGTCACCAGCACCATATTAAAAACACTTTAACCCTCTTCCTCCCCTTCCTCCTCCTCCTCCTCCTTTCTTTCTCTCTGCATTTTCATGTAAAGTCTTTCTTTTTTCACGTTTTTAATGTCAAGCACAGTGAAATGCTTTTCTTGTCAGTGTGACTGACTGGTGTATAGAAAGTCGAGGTGTGAGGGTTGACAGTAACATTGGGCTTTACCAATGAGTCCTACTGGAGAACAGGAGCCAAGAAGTGTCTCTGTGTGTGTCTGTGTGTGCCTGTGTATTTGTGCCTGTGAGTGCCTGTGTGTGTGTGTGTGTGCCTGTGTGCCTGTGTGTGTGTGCCTGTGTGTGTGTGTGTGTGTGTGTGTGTGTGTGTGTGTGTGTGTGCCTGTGTGTGCGTGTGTGCCTTTGTGTGCGTGTGTGTGTGTTTTCCTGTGTGTGCCTGTGTGTTGATAGTAGTTCAAATCAAATGTTATTGGTCACATACACATGTTTAGCAGATGTTATTGTGGTGTAGCGAAATGCTTGTGTTCCTAGCTCCAACAGTGCAGTAATATCTAACAATTACAAGGACAGCTCTTGAATAACAGTCTTTGTACGCTCCATTTACGATCTCACCTTGATTGGCCAAATACATTGGCAGGTTTAGTTGATATGTGTTTAGCAGAATTAGTTAAAATGTGTTTAGCCGTCATTAAACTTTAATTAAAAAGCTATTTACACCTCATCATTGGATGTTGATCATTGTGTGTTCGCTAATGACTCAGTGTGTTGATTGTTGGTCACTAGTTTGGCCTAAAGCACACACACACACACACACACATTTCCAAGCCCTCCTCTGAAGGTAAAAAGTAGTGGGAGGGAGGGGGGGAAGGAGGGAGGGAGGGAGGAGGGGAAGGAGGGAATGAGGGGAAGAAAGGGAGGGAGGGAGGAGGAACGGGGGAGGGGAAAAGGGAATTTGGGTAAAGGTGGGGCATTGTTCCGGAGAAAATAGGGTTATCAGTACCACTCAGATAACCAACTCCCCTCCTCTCTCTCTCTCAATTCAATTCAATTCAATTCAATTTAAGGGCTTTATTGGCATGGGAAACGTATGTTAACATTGCCAAATCAAGTGAAGTAGATCTCTCTCTCTCTCTCTCTCTCTCTCTCTCTCTCTCTCTCTCTCTCTCTCTCTCTCTCTCTCTCTCACCTCAAAATAAATGCTGGAGTTTTGGCCCAAGCCGTGACCCACTAGGGTCCACTAGGTCACATGACCAACTGGCCTGTAAACCTCCCCCACCACCTCACCCCCGACCCCACCCCCTCCTCCTTTCAGGGGCCGGCCTAGCGCAGAGGCCAGGGGTGAGAGAGCCACAGAGATCTCAGAGAACTGTTCAGAGCAGGACTGGGAAGAGAGGGAAGGAGAAAGAAACAGAAAGAGAAAGCAAATAGAGAGAGAGGAACAGAGAGAGGGTAAAAGCACCTAGAGGAGTCATGAAGGCGAATCTGCCACGGAAGATGCAGTGTCAATAGTGATATAGTGGCTTTATATATATATATATATTTTATATATATTTGATACAGCGCTACCAGTGTGGATGGTGGCCAGGAGACTCACTGGCAGACTAGGACCAGTATGAAATGGATACATGGGAAGGTATGGGTGTGTGTGTGTGTGTGTGTGTGTGTGTGCACGTGCCTGTGTGTGTGTGTATGTTCACGTGTCTGTGTGTGTGTGTGTGTATATGTTCACGTGTCTGTGTGTGTGTAGAGGGAGGGAGGTGGTAGATGTGTTCCTCTTACTTAAGGAGATTGAGACCACAGGACATTAAACAGTAATGATTTAGCTTGTTTTGTGTTTGTATCTGATACCATTGATGATTTTATCATGGCTTTCAGTGAACTTTGATCTGGTATTAGAGAATGGGCCTATAGTTGTCCGTGGGAAAACTGTGATTTGTTTCTAGTGAACTGTAGATTTTAACCAAATGCTTGGATTTAGATTTTTTAGGATGGTCAGTCATTCTAATTTCCTAATAACATTTGGAAATGTAAAAATGTTGTTGTGGTAAAAGGATTTGTTAGAATTCTGTGAACATTCCGGTAGCTTCCGCAGTAGCATTACCTTATGCGTGCGACAGTATATTAGAATAAGAAAAGCCCCTTAGCGATGACAGTCAAAAGATTTGCAACTGCTACTGTGGAGATTTTCTGCTGAGCTAATCAAATGTGTGTGTTTGGGGGGTGGGGCTCGGCGCTGTGGAGACAGGAAGCATTTGTGATTGTATCCATAGAACATTTACATGTTTTAGTCATTTAGCAGACGCTCTTATCCAGAGCGACTTACAGTAGTGAGTGCATACGTTTTCGTACTGGTCCCCCGTGGGAATCGAATCCACAACCCTGGCGTTGCAAGCGCCATGCTCTACCAACTGAACCACACGTGACCTGCATTAACCCATATTAACGTACACATGTACAGTTGAAGTCAGAAGTTTACATACACCTTAGCTAAATACATTTACACTCAGTTTTTCACAATTCCTGACATTTAATCCTAGTAAAAATTCCCTGTCTTAGGTCAGTTGGGATCACCACTTTATTTTAAGAATGTGAAATGTCAGAATAATAGTAGAGAGAATGATTTATTTAAGCTTTTATTTATTTCATCACATTCCCAGTGGGTCAGAAGTTTACATACACTCAATTAGTATTTAGTAGCATTGCCTTTAAATTGTTTAACTTGGGTCAAATGTTTCGGGTAGCCTTCCACAAGCTTCCCACAATAAGTTGGGTGAATTTTGGCCCATTCCTCCTGACAGAGCTGGTGTAACTGAGTCAGGTTTGTAGGCCTCCTTGCACGCACACGCTTTTTCAGTTCTGCCCACAAATGTTCTATAGAATTGAGGTCATTGCTTTGTGATGGCCACTAAAATACATTGACTTTGTTGTCCTTAAGCCATTTTTCCACAACTTTGGAAGTATGCTTGGGGTCATTGTCCATTTGGAAGACCCATTTGCGACCAAGCTTTAACTTCCTGACTGATGTCTTGAGATGTTGCTTCAATATATCCACATAATTTTCCTTCCTCATGATGCCATTTATTATGTAAAGTGCACCAGTCCCTCCTGCAGCAAAGCACCCCCACAGCATGATGCTGCCACCCCCGTGCTTCACGGTTGGGATGGTGTTCTTCGGCTTGCAAGCAGCCCCCTTTTTCCTCCAAACATAGCGATGGTCATTATGGCCAAACAGTTCTATTTTTGTTTCATCAGACCAGAGGACATTTCTCCAAAAAGTACGATCTTTGTCCCCATGTGCAGTTGCAAACCGTAGTCTGGCTTTTTTATGGCGGTTTTGGAGCATTGGCTTCTTCCTTGCTGAGCGGCCTTTCAGGTTATGTCGATATAGGACTCGTTTTACTGTGGATATAGATACTTTTGTACCTGTTTCCTCCAGCATCTTCAAGGTCCTTTGCTGTTGTTCTGGGATTGATTTGCACTTTTCGCACCAAAGTACTTTCATCTCTAGGAGACAGAACGCGTCTCCTTCCTGAGAGGTATGACGTCTGCGTGGTCCCATGGTGTTTATACTTGCGTACTATTGTTTGTACAGATGAACGTGGTACCTTCAGGCGTTTGGAAATTGCTCCCAAGGATGAACCAGACTTGTGGAGGTCTACAATGTTTTTTCTGAGGTCTTGGCTGATTTCTTTTGATTTTCCCATGATGTCAAGCAAAGAGGCACTGAGTTTGAAGGTAGGCCTTGAAATACATCCACAGGTACACCTCCAATTGACTCAAATGGTGTCAATTAGCCTATCAGAAGCTTCTAAAGCCATGACATCATTTTCTGGAATTTTCCAAGCTGTTTAAAGTCACAGTCAACTTAGTGTCTGTAAACTTTTGACCCACTGGAATTGTTATAAGTGAAATAATCTGTCTGTCTGACTTGTGTCATGCACAAAGTAGATGTCCTAACCAACTTGCCAAAACTATAGTTTGTTAACAATTTGTGGAGTGGTTTAAAAAACGAGTTTTAATGACTCCAACCTAAGTATATGTAAACTTCCGACTTCAACTGTATGTCAGACTTTTTTGAGTGAGAGTTTGTGAGAGAAGGGAAGAGATAGAGAGAAGGAGAATACAGAGAGTGGGAGGAGGGGGGGCAGTTTTTTTTGCGGCCTGTCTGTGCAGCCCATCTGGAAAAGGTTTTTGTGCAGGCAACACAGTCAGTGTTTACGTGGTGCCACCGCGTGTGTGTGTGTGTGTGTGTGTGTGTGTGTGTGTGTGTGTGTGTGCGGGGGTAGCCCGGGGTCGTCCTGGCTCCACAGAGCCCTGTAAAATCCCCCGGGTCTTATTGGGGGACTCACAGCTGGGCCAACCTCTCGGTGCCCTCTCCTCAGAATACAGCCTTTCCCCTCTCTCACCATATTTGACCCCATGTTTTACCCCTCCTCTGTAGCTCAGTTGGTAGAGCATGCCACTTGCAACGCCAGGATAGTAGGTTTGTTTTCCTGGGACCACCCATACGTAATTAATAATATATCACACATGACTCTAAGTCGCTTTGGTTAAAAGCGTCTGCTAAAAGCCATATATTATCAGGAGGAAGTCATAAAGTTTTTCTTGTACATGGTGGACTTTCAAAAGTCTCCCTGATCAATGCCCTGATTTTAATTTGCTCTGGAGAAGAGTGTCCACTAAATTACTTAAATGTAAAAGCATAAAAGTACATAATGGATAGAAAATGGTAGCTCATCCATGCGATGCAGGGAGTTGTGGGGATTCTTAGACCAGTGTTGGTCGAGCTTGTTGTGTAGTATTTCTTGCTATAATATCTATAATTCCCTGTACCTTTCTTATTGGGTTGTAAGCACGCATGAGTTTATGGATAAGTGAATGACTGTAGTTTATATTCTTTCTTTATCTAATTGTCGCTCTCCCTCTTCATTTGGCTTTCACTTTCTGATGCAGAGCTTTGACTTTGTGGTCCTCTGTAGCTCAGCTGGTAGAGCATGGCCGCTTGTAACGCCAGGGTAGTGGGTTCGATCCCCGGGACTACCCATACAAAAAAATGTTTTATGCACGCATGACTGTAAGTCGCTTTGGATAAAAGCCATTTAGCAGACGCTTTTATCCAAAGCGACTTACAGTCATGTGTGCACACATTTTTGTGTATGGGTGGTCCCGGGGATCGAACCCACTACCTTGGCATTACAAGCGCCGTGCTCTACCAGCTGAGCTATTACATATTATACTTCCTCTGTAAAGCACTTTGAAACAATGGCTTATTTAAAAACGGCTTTGCACATACATTTGATTGATGGATTTAATTGATTGATCTCTTTCCTTGTGAAATACAATAATACATCTATCTCAAAGGAGTCGTATATCAGAATGGATTTGTTATGACAATCTGTTTTGATCGTTGTGTGTTTTAGGAGAGGGCCTCAGTGGCTGTAGTCTATGGACGTTAGGTGGTGTTAATTCTTTGATGCAGAGAGCAATCAGTAACATGTTTTGGATTGATTAAGAGGGTTGTTAGCATGCCACCATTTTGTTTCTGCCTAATGGTTACATCTCTGACTGATAGATAGTGCTTGGTTACATTTATTTGTCCATCTGTCCATCCATCCACCAATCCATCCACCCGTCCACCCGTCCGTCCGTCCGTCCATCCATCCACCCGTCCGTCCATCCATCCATCCGTCCATCCATCCACCCGTCCGTCCGTCTGTCCGTCCGTCCGTCCATCCATCCACCCATTGTCATTATCTCTTGACTCTATCCTGCCAAAGTGAAGCTCATTGCCTCCCATGCCTCTCTGACTGTTACAACCCCGTCTTGTAGGTTCCTTTCTGATAGGGGCTAGCGTTTACAGGAGCTCCCTGTCCTAGGGCTATTTAAAACAGAAAGTGAATGTGAGCGAAACTAACAACCATGGTGGGGTTGCCATAGAAATAGAATCTAGATAGTAGATTCTAACTCTCTGGGGGTAGTTGTATGATGGGAGATGCATATTGGCTATTGTGTCCATTGTGAAGTAGTCCTTCTGACATCTCCCTCTCCTTCCTTCTTCCCGTGCGCAGGGGCCTCCTTCCGCGACTTTTTCGGGCGCCTGCACAGGCCTTAGCGGGTGCTCATTTCTTGACCGGGCTCCAGGGCCACTCGGTGAGCTGCCTGCGCTTCCAAAGCGCGAGCGCGGCAGCGCTGGGAGGCAAAGCAGTGGAGAGCTTCAGCTCGGCTTCCATCTTTCTCTACGTGGTCGCAATGCGTCAGACCGGGTCAGGAGGGCGTCCGCGGCTCGGAGCTGGGCAAGCCGGCGGGCCAGGCCCGGCCCACCATTGTTCGGACGTGCGCTCTGCGACGGCCGACGTCGTCTTCTCTGTCTCTACCTCGAGTCCATTCTTTCGCTGCTCTTCGTTTCTTCATTTCTTTCATCTTTCTCCATTTCTTTCTCTTTCCATCTCTTTCTCTTCCTTTCTCTTTCCATCTCTTTCTCTTCCATTCTCTTTCTATCTTTCTCCATTTCTTTCTCTCTCGTCTGTAGAATACCTTTCTCCCAGCAGCTTGCTGCTTTTGTCTTTGTGGGTAGGAGGGTTAATACAATGTAGTCTTTCATCTTAATCTTCTCTCTGCTGGGTATGGGAAGGTGCTGGGCTGGCTGACTCGGCTGTGTGTAAAGGTTTTTTTCTTTTGGAATGGGGGTGGGGGGGGGGGGGTAATTAGGATTGTGTGAAGCTCAATAGCAGGAATGGGGGCGAGGGTGAGGTATATGGAGAGTTCAGAAGATTTCTAAATGTAGGCTCTAGTAAAATGTGATGTATTAGTGTAGGGTTAGCAGTTGGGGAGGTATTATTTTGGTTTAGCAACCCACATGTGTGTGTGTGTAGGCAAAACTGTAGACCCAAGATGTTGACCCAACAGACAGACACACACACACACACACACACACAACCTCCCCCGACCACCAACACCCAACCGTCTTCACACAGAGAGCATCTGTCAACATGACAAAACAAAGGACATGTTTTTTAGAAGAAATCCTCACTCATCAATGTAGCCTATTGAACAGACAGTAGCACGAATATCAATAAATCATCCCATTGTCTTTGGCCAATGAGAACCAATGATGCTGCTGATATAACTCCAAAATAACCTTGATCCTGTTGAACGCCTGATTTGACTCACACCTGCTTTGGCATAATCAGTCATAGTATTCTACTTTGAGTTGAATCGAGTAAGTATTAACCAAATGATTGGGCTAACATTAGGAGGAAAGCATAATTATTAACATTATTGGAACCTTTATCCCGGTGAGCAATGCTTTGGTATAATAAATCAAACAATAGTCTAGTCTTCTACTTTGAGTTGTAAAGCATTAACCAAATGGTTGGGCTAACGTTAGAAGGAAAACCTGGGAATCGGAGCGAGACACGTTCCCTTTTCTCCTGTTGTTTCCTCAAGGACACACTGTCGAGGGGAATTCAATCATATTTCGGAATGTGGAATTTTGCATATTTTCTCAAAGGGAAAGGGATCAGTGTGTGTGTGTGTGTGTGTGTGTGTGATGGGTGCCGTGTCCTTTCCTGCTGGAGAGCAATTGATCATCGATCAAAGAAGGGATGATTCTAGAGGAGTGTAAAAATAGAAAATTGACAACCTACAAGAGTGATAATCAGTACTGACAAGATATTGAATTGTCACATTTACACATTATTTAGTGCGTAGTACACTTGAAGCGTGTACATTCTGGAGTGTGCACTCCGACATGAGGAAGTCTTACCACTTAAGGGCACCACACACCCTATGCAAACAGAGCGACAGATGTACGGGCCGCACATAACTACGTGGAACTACCGTACATAGAAAACGACGCTCCGTCACTGTGTTTACGTAACCTGTGTAGCGGCATTAGCGAGCGATAACACTGTTTTTACACACTTTTTCATTATATTATTATTTAGTGTAACTTCAGACGGGAAAATTTAAGAATATTCTGATGCTTTCATAGAAACATGACTCGACTTCGGCGAAATACTAAACATTTTGAGATTCATATTTCCTCTGAACCCCATTATTCTATGAAGTTGCATCTATGCCTAAATGGCAGACACATCTGTATTGATCAAAACATATCTTTATTCACACAGACACCTCTGTATTGGTCAAAACGTATCTTTATTCACACAGACACATCTAATGAACACATTTGCAGCTGACCTGTTGCTAAGATCTTAAGATCTGGGCTTAAGATCTGGGCTCTGTGGTCTTCCCAGGGGGACCTGGGGGGGTAAGATCTTCTCCAGTATGGGATGAGGGGGGAGGTCTTTGTTTCAGTGTGAGCTGAGAGCCAGGAATACACCAGGGAGGATTACAGAGAGAGAAGATGGAGGGAAGAAGAAAAACAGGCAGTGAAGGAGAGGGCAGATGAGGAAGACATATTGGGTGATTGAAACGTTGGGTACTCTGATGTAAGAGGAAGTTTAAATACCTATACAATGGTGCCGTTTAATTACAGTTTAAGAAAACATTGTTAATTATGCATTGTGCACAGGTTTTGTGTAATCAGTAATCGCACATTATTTATTTCAATTCATAAGAAATGTATAAACAAACTGAAATGAGTTATAGGAACGTCTTATATCGTCTTGTATGTTTCACGATATCCAATCACCTCTCATACTGACGGCGCATTTATAGCCAATGAGCTTTGATATATTGATTCATTGGTTGAACCGGCACAGTGTAGTATTGTTATAGTTCCCCTTTAATCTTTTTCTTTTTTTAAGAAACTCCCTTTACAAGGGTGAGAAAATTTTTTTTTTTAAACCAAAAGGAAAATGGAGAGGAGAAGTAGAGAGGGTGGATTAGGAGAGGTGTGAAGGTGTGAGTGGAGATGGGTTGTGATGGGTTAGTGGAGGGTGTATAGGTTGAGTGGGAGAGGGTGTGAGGGGGAAGGGTTTGTATATGTTTGGGGGGTGTGAGTTGGGAAGGGTGTGATTGTATAGTTTCCCTTTGTTTTTGGCGTTTGGGTGTGGGTTTTTGACAAGAGGGGGTGGGGGGGGGGAGATGGGTGGGGAGTGGCGGGGGTGTGTTGAGGGGTGAGTTGTGGAGGGTGTGGTGGGGTGTGGTGGGGGTGGTGCGTGTGGGGTTTGGCGCGGGTGTGCTGTTGCTGGGTTTGTTGCGCGGGTGTGCGGCTTTGGGTGGTGGCCGGGGTGTTCGCTGGGTGGTTGGCGTGGCGCGGGTGTGGGGGCGGGTGTGCGCCGGGTGTGAGTCGGGGGGTGTGAGTCGGGTGTGCGTAGGCGAGGGTGTTGTGGGTGTGGCGGTGTGTTGGAGCGAGCGGGTGTGGCGGGTGAGTGTGGTGTGAGTAGGCGAGGGTGTAGTGGGAGAGTGTGGTGGAGCGGGTGTGTCGGGTGTGAGTGCGCGGGTGTGCGTGGAGAGGGTGTGAGGTGTGGTAGGAGAGGGTTGAGAGGACGGTGTGGTCGGAGGGGTGTGAGGGGTTTTGTGAGGGTGTGCGTGAGGGCTGTGTTTCTGTGTTGTGAGGGGTGTGGTAGGAAGGGTGTGAGTGGGAGACGGTGTGAGTTGGACGGGTGTGAGTGGTAGAGAGAAAGACAGCGAGTGAGGGAGGGGCTGTGTGTTTTTTAAGAGGAACCTGTCCCATTGACTCACCCTTTAAAATGCCTGAGTTACATTTCCTGATTGCTTTAAAGTTTGGAATGGCACCGGGGCTGACCCCGGCGGAAAACAATGTGGCCTTTAACGGGGCTCAAGGGGTGGGGTGGGTAAAGGAGGGGTGGGGGGTAACCGTAAAACGACCGTGGAGTTCAAGATGAGGTTGAGTGCTGGCCGGGGCATTGTGATCTCTTCTCACACCCCAGTGAAGTGATTTAACACAGCTGACCTCGCGGTAACCTCACCAACAGACCCCCACAAACACACACACTCACCACCCTTAGACATATAACGTAACACAACCCAAAGTAGCGCAACGCAACGTCCCGCAACTTCCCGCCACATCACGCAACAGTTTACTTCACATCAAGACGGAATCTAAAGGCTTGGCATCAGTGGAATGTGATCTGTGCCATCAAAGCACCCAGTCAGGCCATGTGTTTAGGCAGTAAGAAGTAACAATCAATGATGGGAGCTGTTTAGGAGCCACCGAGCAGCCATTTTAGGGTTTATAAACAACCAATGATGTACTGTGCATTCGGAAAGTATTCAGATCCCTTGACTTTTTCCACATTTTGTTACGTTACAGCCTTATTCTAAAATTGATTAAATAAATAAAATCTACACACAATACCCTATAATGACAAAGTGAAAACAGGTTTTTAGAAATGTTTGCAATTTAAAAAAAATTAAAAACAGAAATACCTTATTTACATAAGTATTCAGACCCTTTACTATGAGACTCGAAATTGAGCTCCGGTACATCCTGTTTCCATTGATCATCGTTGATGTTTCTACAACTTGATTGGAGTCCACCTGTGGTACATTTAATTGATTGGACATGATTTGGAAAGGCACACACCTGTCTATATAAGGTCCCACAGTGCATGTCAGAGCAAAAACCAAGCCATGAGGTCGAAGGAATTGTCTGTAGAGCTCCGAGACAGAATTGTGTCAAGGCACAGATCTGGGGAAGGGTACCAAACAATTTCTGCAGCATTGAATGTCTCCAAGAACACAGTGGCCTCCATCATTCTTAAACGGAAGAAGTTTGGAACCAACCAAAACTCTTCCTAGAGCTGGCCACCTGGCCAAACTGAGCAATCGGGGGAGAAGGGCCTTGGTTAGGGAGGTGACCAAGAACCCGATGGCCACTCGGACAGAGCTCTAGAGTTCCTCTGTGGAGATGGGAGAACCTTCCAGAAGGACAACCATCTCTGCAGCACTCCACCAATCAGGCCTTTATGGTAGAGTGGCCAGACGGAAGCCACTCCTCAGTAAAAGGCACATGACAGCCCGCTTGGAGTTTGCCAAAAGACCATGAGAAAAAAGATGATGAAACCAAGTCTGATGAAACCAAGATTGAACTCTTTGGCCTGAATGCCAAGTGTCACGTCTGGAGGAAACCTGGCACCATCCCAACGGTGAAGCATGGTGGTGGCAGCATCATGCCTTGGGGATGTTTTTCAGCTTTAGGGACTGGGAGACTAGTAAGGATCGAGGGAAAGATGAATGGAGCAAAGTACAGAGAGATCCTTAATGAAAACCTGCTCCAGAGTGCTCAGGACCTCAGACTGGGGCGAAGGTTCACCTTCCAACAGGACAACGACCCTAAGCACACAGCCAAGATAACGCAGGAGTGGCTTCGGTACAAGTCTCTGAATATCCTTGAGTGGCCCAGCCAGAGCCCGGACTTGAACCCGATCGAACATCTCTGGAGAGACCTGAAAATAGCTGTGCAGCGATGCTCCCCATCCAGCCTGACAGAGCTTGAGAGGATCTGCAGAGAGGAATGGGAGAAACTCCCCAAATACAGGTGTTGCCAAGCTTGTAGCGTCATACCCAAGCAGACTCTAGGCTGTCATTGCTGCCAAAGGTGCTTAATCAAAGTACTGAGTAAAGGGTCTGAATACTTAAGTAAATATTTCCGTTTTTGCTTTGTCACTTGGGTTATTTTGTGTAGATTGATGAAGGGTGAAAACAATTTAATCCATTTTAGAATAAGGCTGTAATGTAACAAAATGTGGAAAAAGTCAAGGGGTCTGAATACTTTCTGAATGCACTGTATGTAAACCCTGGATTGCTTATGCTATGTATTGACCATTGAGAGGCTTTGAAGCTACTGGTCGGCCATATTGGCACTCCTCAGAATAGCAGTCCTCCGTAGGAATTAACCTCTACGGGACGGTTGAGCTAACGTGCACTAATGTGATTAGCATGACTGTTGTAAGTAACAGCAAACTTTCCAGGACATAGACATGTCTTATATGGGCAGAAAGCTTAAATTCTCGTTTATCTAACTGCACTGTCCAATTGACAGTAGCTATTACAGTGAAAAAATATTGTTTGAGGAGACTGCAAAACAACAACAAAAAACATATCACAGCAACTGGTTTGATACATTCACCTCAGAAGGTAAATACTGTACTTACATTCAGTAATCTTGCTCTGATTTGTCATCCTAAGGGTCCCAGAGATAAAATGTAGCATAGTCAATTTTTGATATTCAAATGTAGGAACTGGGTTCTACAGTTTGAACCCCTGCTGTCTCTGGCTCCACACCCACCCCACCCGGCCATCTAGATGTTGTCACGATCGTCTTGAGAAGAAGCGGGCCAAGGCGCAGCGTGATATGCGTACATATTTATTTCAGTGTACACACAACGAACAAAACAACAAACGATACGAAACGTGAAGTCCTACGGTTACACAAACCAAAACGGAACAAGATACCACATTAAACAAATGCCAAACGGCTACCTAAGTATGGCTCCCAATCAGAGACAACGAGCTACAGCCGTCTCTGATTGGGAACCACCCTGGCCAACATAGAAATACCAAACTAGAAGCAACACAACCTAGAACACAAAAACATAGAAACTAACACCCTGGCTCAACATACGAGAGTCCCCACAGCCAGGGCGTGACAGTACCCCCCCAAAGGCGCGTACTCCGACCGCGCCAACCAAACACAACAGGGGAGGGACCGGGTGGGCACTCCGCCTCGGCGGCGGATCCGGTTCCGGGCATGACCCCCACTCCCTCTCTAACCCCCCAAAGCGCCCCTGGTCCGGTCTGGCCCTGCTGGCCGGAGCTGGACTAAATACTGGTGGAGCGGATTGCTCTAGCTCCGGAGTGGAGCAGCTGACCGGTGCCGGACCAGGCACCGGTGGAACAGGCACGGGCTGTGCCGGACAGACGACGCGCACCACTGGCTTGGTGCGGGGATCAGGAACAGGCCGGACCGGGCTGGCGACGCGCACCACTGGCTTGGTGTGGGGATCAGGAACAGGCCGGGCCGGGCTGACGACGCGCACCACTGGCTTGGTGCGGGGAGCAGGAACGGGCCGGACCGGGCTGACGACGCGCACCACAGGTTTAGTGCGGGGAGCAGGAACGGACCGGGCTGGCGACGCGCACCACTGGCTTGGTGCGGGGAGCAGGAACGGGCCGGACCGGGCTGGCGACGCGCACCACTGGCTTGGTGCAAGGGGCAGGAACAGGCCGGACCGGGCTGGCGACGCGCACCACAGGCTTGGTGCGAGGGACAGGAACAGGCCGGACCGGGCTGGCGACGCGCACCACAGGCTCGGTGCGAGAGGCAGGAACAGGCCGGACCGGGCTGGCGACGCACACCACAGGCTCGGTGCGAGAGACAGGAACAGGCCGGACCGTACTAAGGACACACGCAACTGGCCCTACGCGGGGATCAGGAACGGGCCGGACCGGACTAGCAACACACCCCAGTACCTCTCGCCGTGCCTCTACGTTCTCCTTCCCCCTGGTGTCCAGTAACTCCCGTAACCTGGCGGCCTCCTCTGCCAACCCTCTGAACCACTCTATCCCGTACACCTGCTGCCCCGTTGTCCACGGCGTGAGCCCCCCCCTAAAAAATGTCTGGGCTTGTCTCTCCCCCGTGGACCAGGCCTCCATGGTTCTCGCCCAACTCTCACTCCACTGCTCCCAATTCCAACCTCTCTCCTCATCACGCTGCTTGACCCAGTCGTGGTGGTATCTTCTGTCACGATCGTCTTGAGAAGAAGCGGGCCAAGGCGCAGCGTGATATGCGTACATATTTATTTCAATGTACACACAACGAACAAAACAACAAACGATACGAAATGTGAAGTCCTACGGTTACACAAACCAAAACGGAACAAGATACCACATTAAACAAATGCCAAACGGCTACCTAAGTATGGCTCCAAATCAGAGACAACGAGCTACAGCCGTCTCTGATTGGGAACCACCCTGGCCAACATAGAAATACCAAACTAGAAGCAACACAACCTAGAACACAAAAACATAGAAACTAACACCCTGGCTCAACATACGAGAGTCCCCAGAGCCAGGGCGTGACAGATGTGTGAAAGTTAGTGTATAAACTAATGATCCATCATGTATGACATTCCTGGGAGTGTGTAAACTTACATTTTGTATTACCATATCATTTTTGTATGTTCTCTATAGTTAAGTACTTGAAAATGTATCAATTGACCAATTCGGCACATTCGGGCAGACTTGATACAAAATAGTCCAGTATTGCAATGCTGGAACTTTGCACACACACTGCTGCCATCTAGTGGGCAAAATCTAAATTGCGCCTAAACAGCAATATTATATTGTGGCCTTTCTCTTATAATATAATATATAATATGCCATTTAGCAGACGCTTTTATCCAAAGTAACTTAGAGTCATGCGTGCATAAATGTTTACGTATGGGTGGTCCCGGGGATTGAACCCACTACCCTGGCATTACAAGAGCCATGCTCTACCAATTGAGCTACAGAGGACCACCTCTTGCATTTCAAAGATGACGGAACAAAAAAATTAATAGAAAACGCATGTTTTTTTGTTGTATTATCTTTTACCAGATCTAATGTGTTCTATTCTCCTACTTAATTTCAAATTTCCACAAACTTCAAAGTGTTTCCTTTGAAATGGTATCAAGAATATGCATATCCTTGCTTCAGGTCCTGAGCTACAGGCAGTTAAATTTGGGTATGTCATTTCAGGTGAAAAATGAAAAAAAGGGTCCAATCCTTAAGAGGTTAACAGAATTCTACACTATTTCATTTAAATGTTTCAAAGACAAGCCCCATCTTGTAGTGGGGACAGTAACATTAGTACTTTCAAGATGGAGGCGCAAATGTTTCATAACAGCGCCACCTTTCAGTCATCTAGTGTATATATAAATCATTGTTTAGAATGGCCAAGTCCCATGTAACTTCACTGGCTCCACCCACTATTAGACATTTTAGAAATAGCCTACTTTGAGTCAATTGGCACCTCCTTATCAAAATTGCAAGACATTCTCTTAATGTAAAAGGATGAGGATTAAGAGAAGAAAGAAAGAAAGAAAGAAAGATAGAAAGACAGACAGACAGACATTTTCTCCTAAATACTTCAACATTGCCTCCAGATGTACTAATCAAGGTCTGGATATGTCCATCTATGTCCAGAAAAGGACACATTAGTTGATTATAAAACGTGACAGGACACACCATTTATCCAACCCAACCCAATATTTATTTGAAGCATGAATATAGTGATATGTGTGTAAATGCAACAACATTTGGCCAATAGAAGACAAAAATCCTGGAAACTGGAGCAGGCTTCCATGACTATGTCGGGAAAAGGACACATTAGTAAATTATGAAATGTGGCAAGAAACATTTCACCAAGCCAATATTCATTACATGTGCATCAAACATGCTGGGTAAAAATGCAAAGTGGCATTGACTGTATGTGCTTGAAAAGTAAAATGCACATGCATTGGTGAAATTCAGTAACCTCTTTGTGCTTATTGTCATCGAAAGGTTAGCTCTAACAAATCCAGTGCTTGGCTTGGACTGCAATAGGTGCCGGTACTCATTTTGGGTGCCGGTACTTTTTATATTTAGGTGCAGGAGCTCCACAACACTTTTCAGTTAATAGAACAGGAGCTCAAGCAGTAGAACATTTTAGGTGGCGTTACTCGGCTCCGATGAGCTCCTGCCCAAGTCAAGCACTGGACAAATCGGTGTGTGAAACTAACTAGCAAGTATAGCTATTGTTGTCGTACAGTATGGCCGCCCCTGCTACTCAACCTCCCACCTCCCCCTTCCTCCCCACAAAGGACCAAACCTAAACCCAGTCAATTTAAATGGTAATACCTTTGGGGCTTTCAAAAAGCTCCTCTCTCTTCACTCTTTTTAGCATATCTTTGAGAGGCTTTGCAGTTCAAGTTCCCACCATGCTAATAGCTTTTGGTACATGAACATAATGCCACTCTGGTGAGTCATCACTCCAGCCATCCATTCTCTTCAATACCCCTTCTCTCTGTCTCATCTCTCTCGCTCTCGCTCCTCATAAACGGCAGCCCGGCTCTCTCTCCTCTCTCTCTCCTTCCCTCTTCTCTCTCGGTCCTCTTTGATTAGCTCTACGTCTCTGAATTCTGTTCTTTTATCGCTCTGTTTCTCTCGCTCATTCTTTCTATTCACAAGGTCCCAGTTATTATCCTTGGGTTGGGGGGTAGAACAGTATGGGGTATGTTGCCTTTCCTCGAGCATTGCAGCTCCTATTGATTACATTTGATGTAGCCTCTGGATTTTGGCTTCCAAGGCCCATTCTCACTGCAAACACATACAACTTGATGGCAGAAAAATGTTGCATTAGTTCTCTATACTTTGTGAATGGAGGGGATTGAGACCGAGGTCACAGGCCAGAGCTTTCTCTGGGACGCCCTAAAAACACGCCACTTCGATACAAGTGATTTCATAACAGTTAAGAGCGCATTTTCCTAACCCTTTTCCTAACCTTAACCTAATTCTCCTAACCTGCTACGTCAATTATCCTAACCTGCTGCATAAGTTCTCCTAACCTGCTATGAAAAGTTGTAGCTGTATCAAAGTGGCGTTTTTAGGAAGTCCTGCTTTCTCTCTCTAGCACCACCAGCTGTCTTCCATGGTACTAAAGCATGGGCCAAATGATAACTGGGGGGTCATTGCTAACTGATCAGGAAGCTGCATTCCTGTGTAGGGAGCTTCACGCTGACAAATCAAATCAAATCAAATTGTATTGGCCACATGCGCCGAATACAACAGGTGCAGACATTACAGTGAAATGCTTACTTACAGCCCTTAACCAACAGTACATTTATTTTTAATAAAAAATTAGAATAAAACAAAAAAGTGTTGAGAAAAAAAGAGCAGAAGTAAAATAAAATAACAGTAGGGAGGCTATATATACATACCGGTGCAGAGTCAATGTGCGGGGGCACCGGCTAGTTGAGGTAGTTGAAGTAATATGTACATGTGGGTAGAGTTAAAGTGACTATGCATAAATAATTAACAGAGTAGCAGCAGCGTAAAAAGATGGGGTGGGGGGGGGGAAGTGCAAATAGTCTGGGTAGCCATGATTAGCTGTTTAGGAGTCTTATGGCTTGGGGGTAGAAGCTGTTGAGAAGTCTTTTGGACCTAGACTTGGCACTCCGGTACCGCTTGCCGTGCAGTAGCAGAGAGAACAGTCTATGACTAGGGTGGCTGGAGTCTTTGACAATTTTGAGGGCCTTCCTCTGACACTGCCTGGTATAGAGGTCCTGGATGGCAGGAAGCTTGGCCCCAGTGATGTACTGGGCCGTACGCACTACCCTCTGTAGTGCCTTACGGTCGGAGGCCAAGCAGTTGCCATACCAGGCGGTGATGCAACCGGTCAGGATGCTCTCGATGGTGCAGCTGTAGAATTTTTTTAGGATCTGAGGACCCATGCCAAATCTTTTCAGTCTCCTGAGGGGGAATAGGCTTTGTCGTGCCCTCTTCACGACTGTCTTGGTGTGTTTGGACCATGATAGTTCGTTGGTGATGTGGACACCAAGGAACTTGAAGCTCTCAACCTGTTCCACTACAGCCCCGTCGATGAGAATGGGGGCGTGCTCAGTCCTCTTTTTTTTCCCTGTAGTCCACAATCATCTCCTTTGTCTTGGTCACGTTGAGGGAGAGGTTGTTATCCTGGCACCACATGGCCAGGTCTCTGACCTCCTCCCTATAGGCTGTCTCATCGTTGTCGGTGATCAGGCCTACCACTGTTGTGTCGTCGGCAAACTTAATGATGGTGTTGGAGTCATGCCTGGCCATGCAGTCATGGGTGAACAGGGAGTACAGGATGGGGACTGAGCACGCACCCCTGAGGGGCCCCCATGTTGAGGATCAGTGTGGCAGATGTGTTGTTACCTACCCTTACCACCTGGGGGCGGCCCGTCAGGAAGTCCAGGATCCAGTTGCAGAGGGAGGTGTTTAGTCCCAGGATCCTGAACACAAGAGAGATTACCAGAATGTTATAACACTTTATAATATCATTAATTTGTCAATTAATTTATAAAATGTCTCGAAAGTGCTACAGTACGTGCATTAAAATAAATAAAAACAAGAGAGGTAGACAGAGGACACAACTAGACCGGGCTACTGACACAAAGAACACATCTGACGCTACAAGGGACAGGGACAACAAGGAACGCAGGTAAATGAACTGTAGGCCTTCCTAAAGAGAAGGGTATTTAGGCCAGTTTTTAAAGGACCCCAGAGTCTGTGGTGCTGCTTTGGACATTAGCTAAACAAGCCCAGACTGACAGGGCAACTAGGAAGAGCTAAATAAAAGAAACAACCATGATGTCAAAGATGGCTTCCAACTTCAGCATTCACAAAACACACTCTTCAGCAAATTGTGTATGTGTGTTTTTGTGTTTGCATGTGTGGATGTGCATGCACTGTTGTGTGTGTGTGTGTGTGTGTGTGTGTGTGTGTGTGTGTGTGTGTGTGTGTGTGTGTGTGTGTGTGTATAAAGCGGTCATGCCTCTCCATTACTGTGTTTTTATAAGGCCATGCCATAGGACAGAGTCCCAGGTGTTTGGGCCCTTAGCGTTGCAGCTGAGGCTGTGCCCATGTGTGTCTCCCCCCTCCACACACACACACTAGGCCCCTGTAACCCCCTCCTGCCCCCGTGAACCTCCAGGGGGCTAGACTGAACCGCTGTCCTATTTAGCAGCTCACTGACCCTAACCCTAACCCTATTTAGCAATTCACTAAACCTAAAGACGTCAGCATACTTCAGTTCGGCTGGCGCCTAGTCTGAACGAGTGTGCTCACATATACTCCTTTAAAAAGACCTTTGCTTGAAAAACAAGAAAAAAGTGGCAATAATACTGTTTGTCCATTTTGAGACGCCGTAGCCAGTATACACTTCCTCAAAATAGTCTAAATGAATCTAAGATAACTCAAGAAATCTGTCATTAATTTTGACGTTTTTGCAGAGGAGAACTTTGTCGCGCAATTTTACATCTAACTAAGATGTTTGGTGCAGTATTTCTCAATGAAAGAATGTGCATAAAAATGAGCCGTCTCTCGCTGAATGACAACATTGACTTTATTGAAGAATCCCTACTGTTGACCAATCACCGACGAAGGGTTGTTGTTGTGCCCGAACAGCCGAAATAACCCTTACCGAAGTCCAAAACGAACAAAAACTTCACAAAATGCCATCATGATATATGCATAAACTGTTTCGGCTGGGAAGCATACGGATGCCTTGACCCTAACCCTATTTAGCAGTTCACTGACCCTAACCCAAACCCTAACCCTATTTAGCAGTTCACTGACCCTAACAAGAGGATTGAAAGCCATGTAAATCTGATATCATAATCCTCTCTCTCTCTGACACACACACACAAACACAAATGCATGCACACACACACTCACATTCACTTACTTTCATACACTCTTTCACACAATCCACTCTTTTTCTCACTCTCTCTCTTTCACCATTTCTGTCTATCGCTACCTCTTTCACCATCTCTATTGCTACCTCTTTCACCATCTCTGTCTATCACTACCTCTTTCACAATCTCTGTCTATCGCTACCTCTTTCACCATCTCTATCGCTACCTCTTTCACCATCTCTGTCTATCACTACCTCTTTCACAATCTCTGTCTATCGCTACCTCTTTCACCATCTCTATCGCTACCTCTTTCACCATCTCTGTCTATCACTACCTCTTTCACAATCTCTGTCTATCGCTACCTCTTTCACCATCTCTATCGCTACCTCTTTCACCATCTCTGTCTATCACTACCTCTTTCACCATCTCTGTCTATCGCTACCTCTTTCACCATCTGTCTATCGCTACCTCTTTCACCATCTCTGTCTATCGCTATCTCCTTCCTCTCTCCCATGTGATCGGCCTGTGTCTCTCTCTCTCTCTCTCTCTCTCTCTCTCTCTCTCCCCTCTCTCCTCTCCTTTCTTCTTCTCTATCTCTCTTCTCTCTCTCTCTCTCCCTTTCTCTCTCTCCTTTTCTCTCTCTCTCTCTCTCTCCTTTCTCTCTCTCTCTCTCTCTCTCTCTCTCTCTCTCTTGCTCTCTCTATCTTGATCTCTTCTTAGCTGTCTTTTTTAACCCTTTGTTGCAGTTAACTGAGATTTTGTTCCCAGCCTTCATGACAGACACATACATTATTTAGTCTGTAGCAACCATAGTGTTCGCTAGTCTACCTCCGCCCAAGCTTCTATAGGGTGAGGGGGGTTGTAGTTGTAAGATGGTAGGATGGGGGAGAGACCGAGAAAGTGAGTGTGTGTGTGTGTGTGTTTGTGTGTGTGTGTGTGTGTGTGTGTGTGTGTGTGTGTGTTTGGGGCGGTTGGTACTGTGGTGGATTTTTGACAGAGCTAATTCCCCTGCCAGCTTGATGTGCCGGTAGAGAAGAAAGGGGCAAAAGGCCTGTGCTTAATTCCCCAGCCGTGCTCGGAGGATTTAGACGGTGAAGGAAGGTTGGGGGATTATGCAATTTAAGATTTTACAAGCGCTTCTATTTCCTCCACTATGGGCTTCCCCTCTCATCCCGAAGAGTGTGAACCGCTCCTCTCAGTTAATATGATGTGTGTGACACAAACACAAACTTTCGGCCTTTCTATGGATCTCGCATGTGCGCGCATCACACACACACACACACACACTTCACACATACTGTAGTTCACATAGCTCAGAGTAGACTGACGCTTGAAGCCAACTAACACACTTTATCTTTCCTGTCTATTTCATATTCCCTCAACCCGTCTCTCCTGCGCTTGTACATACAGCACTGTAAAATGGAAATCCACAGCTGGGTATTAGCTACAGATAGCAAAGGAAAGGGTTAAGTGTTGAAAATGATTGCGAATGGAGAGCAGTATATGCACACACACAATCTCTTTGGTGAGTGGAGATTGCCAATGATGATGCGCACTGCAGCTAAATCATCCCTTATTTAGAATAATAGAGGAGATTATCACAAACAGGCACTGAATAGGAAAATAGCCCATTTTCAGACTTACAATGGAGCTTGTTTACTGGCGAATAAATATCAATACTTTGTTGTCGGTGTCGAAAAATAGACCCGGAATCAAAGTAATGTTGCTATTCAGTACGTTGGTTTGTCATGTCCGTTGCTGGATGTAGCTAGTAAATCTAGGCCAATGTGTTTACTTGTCCCTAGCATCTTGTAAATGCTTGTCAATTTACCTCATCCCATTACTGAAGCAGTGGGAACTATAATTGAGAAATGACTCCGATATGAAATCCTTCACAGCTGATTTTCAGGAACTATTAAGTGTCATATTATGGTTTTTCCCTCAGATTTCCTGATTGGGGAAAATGTCAAGCGATTTCAGGCTCAAACCGTTCTATCTGGGTGGATGATGTTACTGAAGTGGTTTTGACCTGGTTGGAGGGACTCATGCTATCTCTGATAGACTCCAACAGAGGTTGGCACTGCCAGTGCCCCGTAGGATGCCAGTACAGACAGAGGATAGGGGTTCAGGATAGAGCTTGACTCACTCGGTGGTCCCAGAAAGATAGCAAAGACTTACTATCAACAGGATACCAGTTGCAAACAACTTACCCCTAGGCCATTTATCCAAGGTGTCGGATTTAAATCTTTTTTTGGGGGGGTCTGTGACAGATGCAAATACAGAATGATACACACTGAGTTTGAGACCCCTTCTGTGAGGACCCTGCTTGGAGGTCTTTGCGAGGTAGCTTAAGTTCGTTAACAGTTGGGACAAAATAAAAAAAAAAAAGCTATTATAAATTATAAACTGGGTGGTTCGAGTCCTGAATGCTGATCAGACCATATACCACGGGTATGACAAAACATTTATTTTTACTGCTCTAATTACATTGGTAACCAGTTTATAATAGCAATAAGGCACCTTGGTAGTTTGTGGTACAGTGCATTTGGAAAGTATTCAGACCCCTTGATTTGTTGAATTTCTTTCCTTCTTAATGCGTTTGAGCCAATCAGTTGTGTTGTGACAAGGTAGGTATACAGAAGATAGCCCTATTTGGTAAAAGACCAAGTCCATATTATGGCAAGAACAGCTCAAATAAGCAAAGAGAAACAACAGTCCATCATTACTTTAAGACATGAAAGTCAGTCAATACGGAAATGTCAAGATCTTTGAAAGTTTCTTCAAGTGCAGTCGCAAAAACCATCAAGCGCTATGATGAAACTGGCTCTCATGAGGACCGCCAAAGGAAAGGAAGACCCAGAGTTACCTCTGCTGCAGAGGAAAAGTTCAGAAATTGCAGCCCAATTGCAGCCCAAATAAATGCTTCACAGAGTTGAAGTAACAGACACATCTCAACATCAACTATGTGAATCAGGCCTCCATGGTCGAATTGCTGCAAAGAAACCACTACTAAAGGACACCAACAAGAAGAAGAGACTTGCTTGGGCCAAGAAACACGAGCAATGGACATTAGACCGGTGGAAATGAGTCCAAATTGGAGATTTTTGGTTCCAACCGCCGTGTCTTTGTGAGACGTGGTGTGGGTGAATGGATGATCTCCGCATGTGTATTTCTCACCGTAAAGCATGGAGGAGGAGGTGTTATGGTGTGGGGGTGCTTTGCTGGTGACACTGTCTGTGATTTATTTAGAGTTCAAGGCATACTTAACCAGCATGGGTACCACAGCATTCTGCAGCGATACACCATCCCATCTAGTTTGGCCTTAGTGGGACTATCATTTGTTTTTCAACAGGACAATGACCCAACACACCTCCAGGCTGTGTAAGGGCTATTTGACCAAGACGGATAGTGATGGAGTGCTGCATCAGATGACCTGGCCTCCACAATCACCCGACTATAACCCAATTGAGATGGTTTGGGATGAGTCGGACCGCAGAGTGAAGGAAAAGCAGCCAACAAGTGCACAGCATATGTGGGAACTCCTTCAAGACTGTTGGAAAAGCATTCCAGGTGAAGCTGGTTGAGAGAATGCCAAGAGTGTGCAAAGCTGTCATAAAGGCAAAGGGTGGCTACTTTGAAGAATCTCAAATATAAAATATATTTTGATTTGTTTAACACTTTTTTGGTTACTACATGATTCCATATGGGTTATTTCATAGTTTTGATGTCTTCACTATTAAATAAAGAAAAACCCTAGAATGACAAGTACTGTATATATATATATATGGGGGATTGGAAATGATGCAGACAATTACATAGATGGAAGCAACAATCTATCTGCAATATTCAAGCTGATCAGTTGGTCTCGACCAAACATCTATTTTAACATGCGCCCTCATCCGTACAATTAATCCTCTCTCCCACTTCCTCTCCCCATCCTCCTTAACAAATTTCTAGACACGGGGGACCTGTATGAAAAATGTGTCACTCACTACTGTAATTCGCTCTGGATAAGAGCATCTGCTAAATGACTAAAATGTAAATATACACACAGAAACCACACCTCGCATGTGTTCCCCATTTACTCTCCTCACGCCCTCCACCAAACCCACTCCGCTCCTCGTCCTCCACCAAACTCCCTCCGCCCCTCGCATTCCATCAAACCCCTTTCACCCCTCACCCTCCACCAAACCCCCTCCGCCCCTAGCCTAACATGCTAACCGGCTCCTATTTGCTTAATGAGTGTGGTCGCATGCTATGGTGGAAATCACAGGCCCTCATCATACGTGTGTGTGCATGAATAAAGCCTTCAGTGGGTGGTCCTGGGCTGGGGAAACTCAAAATGGTTTCCCTAACCTCAAACAGACATCTTGTATTGTGTGATAGGGATAAGAAGGGGGAACTGAGAAAAATTATAGAAGAGATCTTAAATATTTTTTTTAGGTCAGCAGTAACTTGTACCTGTATGAAACGACTGGTCCGGTTTTGTCTGGTCCGAACTGGTTTGGTCCGGTCGGATCATACCCATCCTCCTCACTCATGCCTCATGTTCCCTGGCATAACAACCGAAGTCCGTGGGTATGGTGAGATCAGATGCCAGGCAGCATGGCGCTCAAGCGGCCTCTCAGCCTGATTCTGTCGGTACGCAGGAAGCTCCGGTCGGCCGCGGTTGCCCTAACTGACATGACAGATCCCAGCGCTCGCAGCCATGCTGCTACATACGGCTGACACAAAATGGCGGATGTGCGAGGGGCATGTGCAGAGAGGGGAGATGTCGTGCTGGTGTGGCAGGGACAGAAATAGGAATGTCCTACTCACTGTATTGAGAGAATTAAAAGGTAGATTTTTTTTTTACTGCAGTAAGGGATGAAAATACTCAGACAATTTCTTTAAACTGTATGTTTTTTACAATATGGTTTTATGTTCAAACAAAAGTCTTGCAAGTACAATGGTAGTCACCAAGAGGGCTTTGGACTGTAATGACTTAATGTACATTAATGTCTCTTAGATATGTTACTTTATTTGCTCAGTACAAGATGGTGGAAGTGGCAGTGATCCAAGTGAACCCATGGAGCAAATGATTGACCTACCTGCATTTACATAATTTACATCATGCATGTCCCTTTGGTGACTGACAAAGGAACTGTGAATAACTCCTCCCCCTTTTCTTATGTTCTATATCTCTCCTTTTTTCTTTATTTCATCCTTTTTAATTTTTTTACTTTTCTTTATTTCTCTTCTTTTGCTCTCTTCCTTTCTTTATTTTTCTTTGCTCTCTTTCGGTCTTTTCTGTCTCTCAGATGATCAGGCTGATCCGCGCCTGTGCCTCATCTGTGGCGACCGTGCGACGGGCCTGCACTATGGCATCATCTCCTGCGAAGGCTGCAAGGGCTTCTTCAAGCGCAGCATCTGCAACAAGCGCGTCTACCGCTGCAGCCGTGACAAGAACTGCGAGATGTCACGCAAGCAGCGCAACCGCTGCCAGTACTGCCGCCTGCTCAAGTGCCTACAGATGGGCATGAACCGCAAAGGTACGTGTGGAAGAGTAGGAAAAGGGCCGAAAGTTACTGAAGGTTTCAGGAAAGGTGAAATCAGTATACGGTGCTAAGCTAGTTTAAACTAGCTGACCTCTGTTAAGGTTATACAGTATTCATACTTATTATCACTGTGACTGTCATCGAAGTATCGCTCAAAACTACTGAGTTATTATGACTCAAATTCCAACTACTTCCAGAACCAGTCTGCTTATGCATTGAATATACCGCATTGAACATCTTCCAGCACAAATCCCTCTCAACTGAGTGTTTAGCCCCACATTCTGATGGCTTTATCCTTATCTCACGTGGCGCTCTGTCAGCTGTAGTTCAAACGGCCGAGTGCACAGCTGCGGTGCAGGGAGCAGCTGTAGCCCTCGCGGAACATTCTCATCATCAAACGCCAGAGAGATAGACAGCGTGCCAGTATCGATGAGTGACAGAGAGATTAAGATAAAGAGATCGACGGAGAGGTATAGAGGTAAATAGAGACAGATAAAGAGAGATTACACCTGGGTCCTGTTCATTAGGCACCAAACTATAGAAAACAGACTGAAACACAGAGGGACTACCTGACTTTCTCCAATAAGAATCACTATTTTCGTGTTCCCTTCCGTGTACACTAATGAATACGACACTGGATACCTTCTCAAAGAGGGAAGATTGGAGTGTTGGAGATGATGATGATGACGATGATTAAGGTTGGCAGTTACCTCTGATAGATCTAGCCCCAATGCATTCTGGTAGAGCCGTTGTTGTCAGTTCTGGTCAGATTCTATTTGGGTGATTGGATGGATCTGGACCCCTGTGACCACATCTTGCCTCAGCCTACTGTCTTATCTCCTCTGTAACTTAAGATGACATCACGTTCATGGTTACTCTGTGAAAGAGACACTGCTTGTCATAAACCGTCCTCTTTATTCTGAAACGAGAAACTAGGATAGATATATACTATAGAGAAGTATATTATCTATTCTGCTATAGTTAGGAGATATCTATTAGAGTGGAGAGAGAGAGATGGAGATGTAGAGAGTAGCAAGAGCGATGAGAAGAGCGAGAGATCGTAGAGCAGAGAGAGAGAGAATCGATAGATAGGATTGTAGATTATGTAATTATATATTATTGAGTGGTCTAGTTATATTAGAGTTATGTTTTAGTAAGAGATGTATCTCTATATCTCTCTCTCTTCTTTTCTCTAGTCATTTATCTATTTCTTCTGTGTATCATTTCTAGCTCTAATCTCTTGTATCTCGATTCTGTACTTTCTTCTTTACTATAACTCTCGTTCAGATGATAGGCGATAGGATGGAAGTGAATATCTAGGCTTCAGTATCTCTCTGTTGTATATTTTATATGTCGTATATCTGTATCTTTCTCATTTCTGCTATGCGTCTCTATTCTCTCTATTCTGTCTCTATTTCTTTCTTAGCTTTCATCTCTTTCTGTCTCTCTTCGTTTCTCTTTCTCTCTAGTGGCGATATATTTATGTCCTAAGTCTATTTTCTCTCTCTCTCTCTTCTCTATCTGCTCTCTCTCTCTCTCTCTCTGTTCTCTCTCTCTCTCTCTCTCTCTCGCTCTCTCTCTCTTCTCTCTCTCTTCTCTCTCTCTCTCTCTCTCCATATCTCTCCATTTTCATTGTTACGGCGCTCTTCATTTTTATGATTCACTTACTGTTCAGATAATGTCAACGCTCCCTAAAAGATTACGTACAGTAAGGCAGATTCAGATTCAGATTCAGATTTTCAAGCGGTTGTGACGGTTCAGTTAGTTGGAGCATGGTGCTTAAAACACCAGGCTTGTGGGTTTGATTTCCATGTACTGAATATGTGATTTAACCGTAAGTCGCTTTGGATAAATGTGTCTGCTAAAAGACCATATTATTAAAGAGAATTAACCATACACATGCATTCCATTCTTCATCCGGAGGACACTGAAGAATGTCACTGGTGTCATTAGCCATCAGTGTGATTGCTGTGCTAAACTGCTTTTAGATGACACCACCATCATAATGGGAAGCAGAGAAGATATGACACACCGCTTTCCGGAATCACAATTTCAACCTCGCCGCGCCATGAAACAACTTACCTCCCCATTCCGATAAGCCCCCTGGGGAAACACGAGTACTCTCTCCCGTTCCATGTTCTACCTCTACTTACCGACACTCACTGATCCTCGATATTCCAAAAGATAAGGACGTGCTGTGCCGAAACCCGAGAAGAGGAGGAGAAATCCATTGCTTTGATGTCTCGATATGCAAAGTTATTGGTAAATATCGCCTTTGGATTTGCCACGCCTAAGGGGAGAAGGAACGGAAGAAGAATGAGGGAGGCCTCAACCAGCTGGTTAATCAATGGCCCCGAGGCAGAGGCTGGAATTGGACGACGAGAAACGACAAGCGTTATCTGATTTGTGAGACCAGTTGGTGCTCACTTACAAGCACGGTGAAGCACCTTCAGCGATATACAGATAATCCAATTAGAGTGTGTAGTCACTGCCGAATATGTGTCTATGACCTTGAAGTACACAGACATGTAATTTTTTGTTGGTCTAACCGTAAACTAATGGCTTTATTTGATGAGGGGTGACGGGTAGCAAGTGCACCTCCTCATGGTACATCATCTTTGTAATGCACCCCCCTCGTAGCTATTCTCTTTAGAGTGTGCACTTGTGCAAAGGAATGGTCCCCCATTAATTCCCCAAAGAATGCATTTGAACCAATGGCATGGTTGGTCTGCAAACAATTGCAGCATTCGATGTGCGAAATGCTTAGTGGCCTGAGCTGAGCATGAGAGAGTGCCTCCACTGCCCCCCTGTGGCAGCCGCTGAGAACACACCCACCTAAGCTCAATTTCACACAATAGGAATAGTGGTAAGGACCTTAGTCAAATCCACAAAGCCTGACCAGTGGCTACTACATCTACTGCACCAAGCGTTTGCAGCCTTATGTATGTGAGTGACTGTAAGAACAGGTTGAAACCTGCTCCTTTACCTTGTCTGTCAGCTGAGATGGACCTTGTCTCTCAGCTGGGAGTAGTCAGTTAGACATGCGTTCGATGTGTATGTGTGACGGTAATAAACAATGTAGGGAGGAGGGCAACAGAAAGACAGAACAGAGGAGAAGAGAGGGCTTCTGTGTTCTGTGTTTTTCTAATTCAAATGTTCAGACACACGTCCACGCACACCTGAACACAAGTGGAGGCTGCTGAGGGGAGAACGGCTCATAATAATGGCTGGAATGGAATTTAATGAATGGAATGGTATCAAACCCATGAAAACCATGTTTTTGATACCATTCCATTTACTCCATTCCAGCCATTATTATGAGCCGTTCTCCCCTCAGCAGCCTCCTACACACACACACCATTCAACTGTTAATTCAGCACGCAACTCAATTTCTCTACTATCCATTCAGTTCTTTCACATTCTAGAGATGTTATTTTTAAGTATTGATGTCAATCATATTCTCTTTAGAATAGTCTTCTATTTCTGTTTATTCCAGTTCAGACCAGTTAAAACCCTGATGCCTTTTCTCACCATTAGAGGGTGCCAGGTCCCTTCCACAAACTTCACAGCTCAGATTCTACAGCCTTCCACATAGATCTCCCTCAACAGTAAAAACTGCCAGTCATCCTATGTTGAGTTGCTGAACCTACTCCAACCCTTCTGTCACCATCTCTTTTCTTTCAACTAGTCTATTTTAGAATGGTTATGGAAGATGTGAAATGCATTTACAGTTTGTCAGAAATGTATGTCAGAATGGGCTTTCTAAGTTCTGTCTGTCTGTGTGTCTTTCCACAGCAATCAGAGAGGATGGAATGCCGGGGGGAAGGAATAAGAGCATTGGACCTGTCGAGGTATGCCACAATTTATCACTGTTTCTGTTCTGGTCCAGTCTTAGGTATTTTACCTGTGTCCTACCCATACAGTGCCTTGCAAAAATATTAATCCCCCTTGGCGTTTTTCCTATTTTGTTGCATTACAACCTGTAATTTAAATGGATTTTTATTTGGATTTCATGCAATGGACATACACAAAATAGTCCAAATTGGTGAAGTGAAATGAAAAAAAATGACTTGTTAAAAAAAATTCTAAAAAATAAATGGTGTGTGCATGTGTATTCACCCCCTTTGCTATGAAGCCCCTAAATAAGATCTGGTGCAACCAATTACCTTCAGAAGTCACATAATTAATTAAATAAAGTCCACCTGTGTGCAATCTAACTGTCACATGGTCTGTCACATGATCTCAGTATATATACACCTGTTCTGAAAGGCCCCAGAGTCTGCAACACCACAAAGCAAGGGGCACCACCAAGCAAGCGGCACCATGAAGACCAAGGAGCTCTCCAAACAGGTCAGGGACAAAGTTGTGGAGAAGTACAGATCAGGGTTGGGTTATAAAAAAATATCTGAAACTTTGAACATCCCACGGAGCACCATGAAATCCATTATTAAAAAATGGAAAGAATATGGCACCACAGCAAACCTGCCAAGAGAGGGCCGCCCACCAAAACTCACGGACCAGGCAAGGAGGGCATTAATCAGAGAGGCAACAAAGACACCAAAGATAACCCTGAAGGAGCTGACAAAGCTCCACAGCGGAGATTGGAGTATCTGTCCATAGGACCACTTTAAGCCGTACACTCCACAGAGCTGGGCTTTACGGAAGAGTGGCCAGAACAAAGCCATTGCTTAAAGAAAAGAATAAGCAAACACATTTGGTGTTCACCAAAAGGCATGTGGGAGACTCCCCAAACATATGGAAGAAGGTACTCTGGTCAGATGAGATTACATTTGAGCTTTTTGGCCATCAAGATTAAAATTGAGCTTTTTGCCCATCAAGGAAAACGCTATGTCTGGCGCAAACCCAACACCTCTCATCACCCCGAGAACACCATTCCCACAGTGAAGCATGGTGGTGGCAGCATCGTGCTGTGGGGATGTTTTTCATCGGCAAGGACTGGGAAACTGGTCAGAATTGAAGGAATTATGGATGGCGCTAAATACAGGGAAATTATTGAGCGAAATCTGTTTGTCTTCCAGAGATTTGAGACTGGGACGGAGGTTCACCTTCCAGCAGGACAATGACCCTAAGCATACTGCTAAAGCAACACTTGAGTGGTTTAAGGGGAAACATTTAAATGTATTGGAATGGCCTAGTCAAAGCCCAGACCTCAATCCAATTGAGAATAAGTGGTATGACTTAAAGATTGCTGTACACAAGCAGAACCCATCCAACATGAAGGAGCTGGAGCAGTTTTGCCTTGAAGAATGGGCAAAAATCCCAGTGGCTAGATGTGCCAAGCTTATAGAGACATACCCCAAGAGACCTACAGCTGTAATTGCTGCAAAAGGTGGCTCTACAAAGTATTGACTTTGGGGGGGACTGAATAGTTATACACGCTCAAGTTTTCTGTTTTTTTGTCTTATTTCTTGTTTGTTTCACAATAAAACATATTTTGCATCTTCAAAGTGGTAGGCATGTTGTGTAAATCAAATGATACAAACCCCCCCAAAATCCATTTTAATTCCAGGATGTAAGGCAACAAAATAGGAAAAATGCCATGGGGGGTGAATACTTTGACAAGCCACTGTAAACCTTTTGACTCAAGGGCAGGCACAGTGCCTGCTGGATTACATTTTTCCGGTTTAATACAGTTTCTCTCTGTCCAATTAATGGCATAATAAACTGATCAAGTAAGTGTCTAGGGCATGAATGAAACCAGGGTCGTGTTTAGTACTTCACACATCACTCCGTAGCAAAATAAATCAATAAATCTGTGTTCTTATTGGACAAGTTCAAGTAGTCCCTCCCTTTTTCTCTCTGTTTCAAAAAGTTTTCTCCGTACTGAACACAACACCGCAGACACTGTTGCCGTCAGTGACTTCAGTTGTGCACTGTGGCGATACAGTGTCTTCTATGTTCTTCTCAGTGGAAACCATGTGTTTGATGTATTTGATACCGTTCCACTGATTCCACTCCAGTCATTACCACAAACCCGTCCTCCCCAATTAAGGTGCCACCAACCTCCTGTGGTTCCTCCCAATGTGAAACTGTTTTTTACAAAGCAACCAACCTCAATAGAAGAAACAACTTTCAGTTCCATCATTCAGTTTGTAAAGCGTATACATAGAATATGTTTCTCACAATACAGGGAATGCAGCTCGAAAAGGGACATGATTCTCTCTTCAATTGATTCAGAGCCCACGTTCGTGTACAACATGGACCTGAAGTGCTTTTTCAAATCTATTCTCTTCAGATTATTATTATCTGCTTCTTTTATGTTCCATCCATTTCAGCCTTTAAATGTTCAGCTACAAAACACTACAAAAACTTGAAACTGCTAAAACGTTTTGAGACTTTAAACTAAAAAAATAGGTTATTTTCCAGGTGTACTTTTAAAGAGAGGCCCCTGAAAGCAGCTGAGTAGCTGAACACAAAGATTGATTGATGAGTTCGAATAATGTTCCATTGGCGGTGAAAACCAGAACGTTTTAGCAGTAGATTACATTTCCAAATGTTTTAACGGGTCAAAAAATGTAGTTTAATTGGTTTAAATGATTAATTGTTGGCTTTTGTGGCTTGTTGTGACCCAATTGTTGTAGGCTTTCATTTTCACCAACTTTATTCTTATTGTCATCCCAAAATGTTCAAAACCACACAAAAATGGCACCAACAGTCAGTCTTTACTAGACTACTGTACCTGCATGATATTTTGCAATACTTGAAATGCCTTGCTTCTTTGCCTGGAAAGTATCTGCAGAATAGTTTTAGGTAACGTTCTCTGCCTAGCATCTTTCAAGGAGCAAAATCATTCAGTTGATTCCAGCACTTGCCTCAATATCGGTGTCCTTGCTCCAAAGCTGGATTCAGGCCCTGCGAGACAGTCAAGTATGTCCCTCATTATTGCAGATAGGGTGAACTCATTAGGCTTAAATCACCCTTCTGCTCAGATGGGAACTATAGTGCCGCAACGGAGTAATCAGACGCCTTTCAGACACAGAGAATAGGAGGGCACAGCTTGTGTGGCAGAGAAAAAGTTACCTATTTTCCAGAGGCAAAGCGTGCAAGAGCGTGTGCGAGATATGTCCGTGGGTGCTTGTTTTGTTCTCCAGTCTAATAAGTAACTCCTGCCTTCTTAAATCCTCTCATCTCCACATATTGATTCCACTGTTCCCGGGTATACTGACAATATGTGAAAGAAAAGTTGCCCGCCACCGTCTCGGGAACATTCTTTAAACATTTATATAAAACCCACGTAATTTCTCATGAGCATGGTTTATAATGCTACATAGCTGAATAACAAACTTGACAGTGACCTATGTATACCATTTTCGAATCGTCAGACAAACTGGCTTTTGTTTGTACAGGGACTAATGCACCTGAATCAATAACCCTTTGCCAATACTGAATGACAAGAGAAAATGAACAGAGGCTTTCTCTTCTCTTACCTCCTTCCTTGTTTCCCACCCTCCTTTTTTCCCTCGCTTCTCTGCTATAGATTTCGAATGAAGAAATGGAACGCATTATGACAGGCCAGGAGTTCAAGGAGGATGCTGGTTTGCCAGAGCACACATGGGGAAACAACGGCGACAGCGACCACAGTTCCCCCGACAACGGCGTCTCCGAGGGCAACCAACCCTCGCCGGTCTCCACCCTTTCGTCCAGGTGAGCTGTTGTTGTAGGGGTACAGACCATCACCTCGAAGGTTAAAGGTCGGAGCACTGACCGAGAGACACCACTGGCTGAGTAACTATGACTTCCCCCAGGAGCGAAATGCATTAACAATTTGTGGCCAAATTCAATATCTTTAAATTCATTTCTGAATAAAATGACCTATATCTGGCAGTTGTATGTCCTATAAACGGACACGGATACATTTTATTTTGTCCCCTCAGCTTCATGACGCCTCTGAATTTTCCATTGCATGCCTACCAGTAAAGTTTTTTTCGAATCATGTTGTTATGCGATTGAGTGAAGGTTCCTCTCATGTTCATATGTAAGGTCACTCACATTTCACTCCTAAGCACATTTATGGGAGAATTTGAAGCTCCTCGCTCCTGGATTCTCCCGGGGTTTGTTGCCGCGGAAACAGCGGACACAGTTTTCATTCCTCTGCTGTTGCTGAAGTCCTGCCATTCCACAATGATAAATGCTGTCCTTAACGTGGTTGTCTCAGGGTCGATGCTCTCTGTCTGCAACCCAGTTCACTCTGGCGCTACCTGCATGATAAAGCGTAGAGTTCTGTCATGTTTTTTTTCGTGCTTCCCTGTGCCCAGAAAAAATACATTTGTCTAGAAAACTCTGTCATACTTTACATTATGGTGCCCTTATTCCTGTGTAATTATTTCTGTAAGCACAGTGTAATAAGTATTTATAGTAGAGTAGTACTTTACTACATAATGGTTTCCTGGTTTGTGTCTTTGCAGCAGATCCCTGGAAATGAATGGCTACACTGCTACCTACCGGAACCAGTACGTGGGCATGCCCGTGTCCTCACACTACCAGTTCCTGCCACACCTTTTTGGTTATGCCCAGTCAGTCCTTAGGCCCACCCTGGCCCGCAGCCTGTACCCCCAATCGCAGACCCTTGTCTCGCAACTGGTGGCAGCCGAGGACCTGGCCCCCCTGGGGACCCCCATGCTCATAGAAGATGGGTGAGTTCCAACGGCGCACACACCTGCGTCGGACTGTGCTTTTGACGTGCTACGTTGTTTTCTTTTGATAGACTTTTAAGGTTTGGGGTCTTGACACCAGATGTCTTGTTTTGTCGGATGTTTACAAAAAGAATAGGTCATGACCTCATGTCCTATCGATCACCCTTTTTGTCATGCCTAAACTTCACACCGCCCTCTCTGCCGTGTGTCCCCCAGGTACAGGGTGACCCAGGGGGAGCTGTTTGCCCTGCTCTGCCGGCTGGCAGACGAGCTGCTGTTCCGGCAGATCTCCTGGATCAAGCGGCTGCCCTTCTTCTGCGAGCTGTCCATCGAAGGACTACACCCTGCTGCTCAGCGCCACTTGGCAGGAGCTCATCCTCCTCTCCAGCCTCACCATCTACAGCAGCCAGATGTTCGGGGACCTGGCCAACGTCACCACCAAGTACTCGCCCTCTGACTACGAGCTGCAAGGGTAAGAGAAGCCCCAGGATCTTAGGTCTCCAGGTTCTTGAATCTGGTAACATGGATCCGGGTTTGGGTTCCATTGCCATAGCTTTGGCTCAAGGTTGGCCTTTTGGGAGAATATTAGGAATGGTGGTTTCCCTGACCCAGATTAAGCCTAGTCTGTAGCTTAATCTGGGTCAGGGATACCGGTCCTGGGATACATTATTCATTAAGGCTTTTAAATGCAACTTAAGCCGTTCTTTAAAATGATTGATTTTAATTGATTATCTCTCATCATCTGCCAGGTTTAGTGAAGATGGAATGGATGTGATGGAGAGATTGATATACCTGTTCCGCAAATTTCATCAGCTGAAGGTTAGCAACGAGGAGTATGCCTGTATAAAAGCCATCAACTTCCTCAACCAAGGTATTACTCTATGTCAATTCTACATACTTTTAAAATATGTTGGAAATTACAAAAAGGCTGGGATGATACAATGGCTGCTGGGCTAATCTTTACACTGATTTTTTTATTTTTAAATGTCACCTATGAAATATAATCTGAAATGTCACTACAAACTGTGCATACTATTTAATTCATATTTTATTAAACCAAGTCCTGGCAATGAAGGCAGCACTCCTTTATTGTTTTAAAGGGACGTCTGTATTAGTCGTCGTCGTAAACCATAACCCTCTCCTCTGTGCAGATATCCGAGGGCTTACTAACATTTCTCAGCTGGAGAAGCTGAACAGGCGTTACTGGTATGTATGCCAGGACGTGGCTGAGTATAAGTACCCTCACCAGCCCAAACGCTTCCCTGAGATCATGATGTGCCTCCCTGAGATCCGCCACATCGCAGGTGAGTACATACAGTTCATTCAATTGTCAGCTTAAAATGTAGACCTTTTTCAGCTCTGACTGATAGCCATTTTCATTGTAAGGTGTGCAATATGTATTATGCATATGGCTATACAAAACGTGTACAGTGTGTATGACATGGGTAATGTGCAATGTACAGTTGAAGTCTGAAGTTTACATACACTTTAGCCAAATACAATTAAACTCAGTTTTTCACAATTCCTGACATTTAATCCTACTAAAACTTCCCTGTCTTAGGTCAGTTAGGATCACCACTTTATTTTAAGAATGTGAAATGTCAGAATAATAGTAGAGAGAATGATTTATATCAGCTTTTATTTCTTTCATCACATTCCCAGTGGGTCAGAAGTTTACATACACTCAATTAGTATTTGGTAGCATTGCCTTTAAATTGTTTAACTTGGGTCAAACGTTTCGGGTAGCCTTCCACAAGCTTCCCACAATAAGTTGGGTGAATTTAGGCCCATTCCTCCTGACAGAGCTGGTGTAACTGAGTCAGGTTTGTAGGCCTCCTTGCTCGCACACGCTTTTTCAGTTCTACCCACACATTTTCTATAGGATTGAGGTCAGGGCTTTGTGATGGCCACTCCAATACCTTGACTTTGTTGGCCTTAAGCCATTTTTCCACAACTTTGGAAGTATGCTTGGGGTCATTGTCCATTTGGAAGACCCATTTCGACCAAGTTTTAACTTCCTGACTGATGTCTTGAGATGTTGCTTCAATATATCCACATAATTTTCCTTCCTCATCATGCCATCTATTTTGTGAAGTGCACCAGTCCCTCCTGCAGCAAAACACCCACACAGCATGATGCTGCCACCCCCGTGCTTCACGGTTGGGATGGGGTTCTTCAGCTTGCAAGCACCACCCTTTTTCCTCCAAACATAACGATGGTCATTATGGCCAAACAGTTATATTTTTGTTTAATCAGACCAGAGGACATTTCTCCAAAAAGTAAGATCTTTGTCCCCATGTGCAGTTGCAAACCGTAGTCTGGCTTTTTTATGGCGGTTTTGGAGCAGTGGCTTCTTCCTTGCTGAGCGGCCTTTCAGGCTATGTCGATATAGGACTCGTTTTACTGTGGATATAGATACTTTTGTACCTGTTTCCTCCAGCATCTTCACAAGGTCCTTTGCTGTTGTTCTGGGATTGATTTGCACTTTTCGCACCAAAGTACGTTCATCTCTAGGAGACAGAACGCGTCTCCTTCCTGAGCGGTATGACGGCTGCGTGGTCCCATGGTGTTTATACTTGCGTACTATTGTTTGTACAGATGAACGTGGTACCTTCATGCGTTTGGAAATTGCTCCCAAGGATGAACCAAACTTGTGGTATTGGCTGATTTCTTTAGATTTTCCCATGACGTCAAGCAAAGAGGCACTGAGATTGAAGGTAGGCCTTGAAATACATCCACAGGTACACCGCCAATTGACTCAAATTATGTCAATTAGCCTATCAGAAGCTTCTAAAGCCATGACACTTCTGACCCACTGGAATTGTGATACAGTGAAATATAAGTGAAATAATCTGTCTGTAAACAATTGTTGGAAAAATGACTTGTGTCATGCACAAAGTAGATGTCCTAACCGACTTGCCAAAACTATAGTTTGTAAACAAGAAATTTGTGGAGTGGTTGAAAAACGAGTTTTAATGACTCCAACCTATGACTCCAACCTAACTTCCTAACTTCCGACTTCAACTGTATGTGCTATGTTGTGTGCAGTGTTTATTTTGTATACATCACAGTGTGTCTAAGGTTAATGTTCATCCTATCTTATTATGGGATGGCATCAAGGGAAAACATTATACACCCCAATGTATGGTATGGTAAATACTGTACTGTAATAGATATGTGGTTGCGAATACTGAAGTGCACATCAATGTCCATTGCCTTTGTTTGGAGGATAGATGGGATTAAGAGAGGTTGTTGTTTCTGTGCTTACTGTCTTTGATGGTAGTGTAGGAAAATGTATGCACTCACTACTGTAAGTGGATAAGAGCGTATGCTAAATGACTAATATGTCAAATGTAATGTAAATGGTCGGCCCTTCCAGGGAAGCTGGTGAATGTTCCATTGGAACAGCTCCCCCTGCTGTTTAAGGCCGTCCTGCACTCCTGCAAGTCCAGCCCCAACACCCTCCAAGCAGGCACCACCTCCTGCCTGACAACAGGCCCCAACCCTGGCAACTGAGCCACGCCTCTCAAAACCCACCGTCCACCTGAAGGAGGGGGTGACCCCCTTCTTTCTTTTGTGAATGTGACAGTTATTTTAAACTTAATTGTTTTCCTAAATGTATTTATTACACGACAGATCTGAATGTATTCACGCCTCCGCAACAAGAAATGCACAACCAATGCATTGTTCACACGTGTAAGTGCAGTTTACACGTGTGTGAAGTGTTAACATGGTAGCTATTTTTCGTATAGATTTCCAGGAAGTTTTTTTGTTTGGGGATCCACTAGAAAACACTAGTGTTACTGAATGACTACCTCAGTAAGTATTGGTTGTGTTTTCAGTGGACATATGCCTGTGTCAGTGAAAAGATAACCTCAGCAGTCTTTGGTATGTTTGTACTATCCTCAGTTACAGTAAAGTACATGCGATATACTTCCCCACTGTGTTAAAAAAAAATAATCAATGTGACGTTAATGATTGTTACCAAAGGTCTCCAAAGATACACTCAGTTACTAAGTGTAGTTAAATTGAGTTTTAATATATACTACATGCTATACATTTAGCTTTTTAAGGTTAGTGAAATGTATCATGGTGGGGGGTGAGGTTTCTCAAGTGGTATTGGTATATCTACTCAAACACATCTGCCAATAGTGACAGATGAGATTTCCCAAGCTGCCTTCACTGATGCCTTGTATTCCATCACTAGTAATGTCAACATAAAGTGGCGGCATATTCAAGTCTCTTTTTCATTTACATTTCTACTCAAGCCTTTCAGCAGGTAAAAATGAAATTTAGTCAAAATTGATACGGGTATTTTTAAGGCTAATGATATTGAAGTAAGTGGAAGTGAAGGCGGTTCTTTCATGTTTTCAACTAAAGTTGAAAGATTTTCCGATGATATTTGTTGTTATTTCTTGATCAATCAATTAATTAACTGAAGGACCACTCTGGGATTGGTGATGATAGGCCAGTAAAACGTTGCTGTCCCAGTCGACCTTCTCCTGAGATGTACCAGTTACTGCAGATGCCTGGGAGGACGAGAAGTGCAATATGCACACTGTTGAAAACCCAGGGTGTGGGTGGGTTTTTTAAATAGATGCGAAATGCTGCCCAATAGTGGCAAGCTCAGCCATAGTTCAAGAGTATCGTTGTTGTGCACTCTACTCTTTCAAGGGACATGTTCAAAGCAAAATCCCACCTATGACCTCTAGGGTCACAGCGATTGTTATGTCTGCATGTGCGTCAACAAAAAGGTTGCAGCTGCCAGTTAATGTTTTCTGTGATATTTTCTCACTTGAGTTTGCAAGAACTTGAGTTCTAAACAGGGTAAGGTGGAAGTTTGGTGTACGGCATTCAGAAGTTACTCAGGATCACTTTGTTGAATTGCATTTAATATTAGTAGTTGTAGGTTTTGGGGGACGTCGTAAGTAGCCGTCTTGTCTTTTGGGGACTTTTTTTCTTTAGGGGAGTTGTTGTATTTGTGTGGGTGTTTGGACTATATGGAATAGAATATACGATTTTAATGGACTAATAAGGATACAATTTGGGTTCTGAATTGATGTAAGGTTCTGTGACTGGTTAGACTCATATTCACTTGTATTCTCAGGTGTGTTACAAACAAGGCAAAAAAGTGCAGCAATGACCAGACTCGATCAGTTAGGAGTGTTACTTCGGTACTGTTACTGTAAGGAAAAAATGTTGTGGTAAGGGATAACTGGCAGTCAAATTCATAGAGTGCACCCCTCCCCTTCAAAACATTCCAAATAGAACTGAATATATTTGTTATATCTTTGAATGTTTACATATTTGCACCAGACAATGATTTAAGTGAAGGTACTGTGCCAGAGTTAATGGTTTAGCTATAGGTCCTCAGTCAGAGCCAGTTGTGGCATTTTGACCAGGCCTAGAAGTTCCTCTATTTTAGCCATTCTGACAACCTCTTGCATACACACGTCTTTGAACAAACTATGGGAATTGATGCCTATTCGTAAATGAATTAGCCACATCTATTCAATGTCCCGCTTTTGTCTGTTTTTATTAAACGTTTAACATTTGTCATTTACTTGGAATGTATTTTGTTGTTTTACAATAATGTTTTGCATATCAATTAGATGTTTGATTGTTTGAAGTATAAGTGACTAGGATTTGTCGTTTTTTTTAATTCAGTGGCTGAATCCCAAATCACCCCCTTTCCCGCACCCCTCGGCCCTCCATTTGCACATTCACACGTGCCTCTTCCATATGCATAAGTGTCCCAAAGCTGAGGTAGTGAAATTATCAAGGGTGTAGGGGCTAATTAGACCCTTCGACAGCCACTTCGACCAAGCCAGCAAGGCTGCAGGCTCCAGAGGGAAATACTATCCACGAGTGTGTCCTAAAGTTGATGGGTTTATTGATCCCCTCGCCACTCTGGAAGTCACCCTCTGAGTTTCGTCAGCAACACGTGACAATGGAGGTCCTTCCGAGTGAGTTGGTAGGGGCGAGGAGCTGGTTTGGGATTCATCGAGTATTCTGTCCCAGTCATTTACCAGAAACAAGGTAGCCATCTTGGAGATGCACGGTTTGTGATGCATGTGTTGGCCTGTAGGGAGGCGCTATCTGTCAGTGGTGTCCAGTTTTCAAGGGGCATCCTGCAGCTCAGGGATTAAAATTGACAGAGTAGCTCCGCTTTGGTTCATGGTTGAGATGTTAGATGTTTGTTGACCGGTGTGTGTGTGTGTGTGTGTTTTAATGGATATTGGCTTTATAATTGGGGAAGATACCTTTTAATCTTACTCAGTTGGGGAAGATACCTTTTAATCTTCCTCAATTTAAGTGGTAAAGGACCCTAACCACTAGGTGCTAAAAAGAATAGGGCCAGATCATCACAACACCTTTGCATTTGCGTTCATAATGCTTAACTCTGCTGTGCTGTGTAACAATCAACACTTTCTTTTATTCAAGGGAACACTGTTGGGGTCTTATGCATAAAGCCATTATACACTTTACCAATATGGTGCCTGATAACCTCTCGCTTATTTTCAATACACGACTGCCGATATTCAAACGTATTCGGCAAATCCATTTTCTCATTCTCTTTGATAGAATGTATCAATCAAAAGAAAGGCTTTTGAATTGCAGTGATATCAGGTGTCATAGAATGTTTTTTGGGGGGCACAATGCTTTGTTTGTTTATGTTGGTGTTCTGGGTGTAAAAAAGTTGCAGACAGAGAAATTCTAAAGTTAAGAGATGTGATGTTCTACTGTAACATGTTGTTTCTTAAAGCTAGAATCCTTAATTGAAATAATAACAAAGGGATCACCCCACCTCAGTTTTGGTAAAAAGCAGAGGGATGGGCCTGGAGAAATGTGACCACTCTCAAATTCATAGATAGAGCTATGAATGCAAGGAATGACCATCCATGATATCAAAATGATAGTTTTAACCATATTTTGAGGCTATACAGTGTTTGTTTATATTTTCTTTGTTTACAAACATCGGAGTAAAACAAGCTACGTTTTATTTTGGGTTCTGATGGGGAACGACAGTTGAACTAAACTAATGATGTATTTAGAAGTAATGGGCCCCGTGTAGCTCAGTTGGTAGAGCATGGCGCTTGCAACGCCAGGGTTGTGGGTTCGATTCCCACGGGGGGCCAGTATAATGTTTTTTTTATTTTTATGTATGCACTCACTAACTGTAAGTGGCTCTGGATAAGAGCGTCTGCTAAATGACTAAAGTGTCAAATGTAAATGTAATATTGTTCAAGAATAAATGGGGTATATATCATTAATAAATAAGTCCAAAAATTGATGTCGCAACTAAGGATTCTAGCTTTAACCTCCATCATGGGTTTATATACTTTGTGTCCGTGTGTCTGCCCTGACTGTAACTTTGACTACCTGTGGCTATCAGAGCAATAAGTGTTCAAAGCATGCATAGAATGTTAGGACTTGAAACTAAATAAAGGTGAACCTTGTGCAGCTGTGAGACCAAGGCCTCAATGTGTTTACTCTTCTCCCTTTGCCCCAAAATGTATAATTGATCAAAAGTAACATTTCAGATGAATGTCCCCAGCTTATCCATTTAGGATGCACTCTCAGCAGACTCTCTTTAAGTGTCCACTTGTCCACTTCTGGTGAATGTCCGTGACCCTCCACTCCCCGTTTGTTCTCCACGCCTTTGAGATGGCATTCGATGAGCACAAATGAAAATAGCCACTGATCACCCATCATATAGGGTGCCTATTTTAAGAGGCATACGCATGATCCTTGCGAATACAGATGATAGCCCGGGTCACAGAGGTTATATTAGTCTAAACACGGTGGGGTATTTACTCAGCGATAGCGGTGCCTTGTTACACCAGAGACCTCCAAATAAAAGAGCTGAGTCGTTGTAATAAATTACAGGGAGTCCGTTTGCTGTGTGACAGTCACATCCTGTCGCTGGCTCCTCCCCTTCCTGTGGACAGGGCAGAGAAAGGGGTGCCGTTTTTAGCATGTGCCTCTTGTCTTGTCAATCTGAGCCAAGGAGAAATAATGGCTTCCCATATTGTGCCAAATTGAGCTCCCTTGCCAGGGCCACTGACAGCGTCACTGCCCACAACAGCTCTGGGGAATTTACGTAGCTGGCCACATTTCAAAATGGGCCAGAGGAAGCCAAGGCCTCCACTGCTATTTTAACGATGAAAAACGCTTCACTAATGTCAGATCTATCTAGGAGCTGTCTAAACAGTCTTTACTGTGTGTATAGTAGAGGAATTCAAACGATAGTTAAAGAGGCATTTTCTCACCTCTAGAAGATTAGTTGACTCCACACAGTGATGCATTATTTGTAACTTTTCAGAACATCATCTTCATTAAAGACACAATCTATAAGTTTCCAACAAATCTCCTTTATGGTTTTAGTAATCCTGTACCTGCTATACATTATGTCAAATCTTCCCTGTGTAGAGACATTTGTTTTCCCATTCTCAAGGAGGATCCTGGTTCCTCTTCCGCCAATGTCCAGTGGGTCAAGTGGCTGCAGAATTGCTTCACTATTTATGGAGTTCCCACAAATTATTAT